CGTCGACTCCGGGAGTCGATGGATTGGGTGAATTTGATTCGTCGGCTCGGGGAGCCGACGCACCCTCCGTAATGGAGGGCTCCGCCAATAACAGGCGTCGAGGTGAAGATGGCGTGTCTGCTCCGGGAGCCGACGCTGCAAGCGGTGCGGACGGTTGCAAACGTCCCGCACCGGAAAAACTTGCATGCTGTCGTGCAGCAGGGCTGCACGACGAAGCGCCGGGCGACCAAGCGGGGCTTGAAGTCGCTCGCCCGCGGATGAACCCGCCGGCGGTACTGAAGAAGAACACCCGTCCACAGCTGGGCCTGGACGAGGTCAAGAACCAAGCGGAGCCGGGCTCCGCAAAACAAGAAGACGGCGCATGCGAAGGTCGCTGCCCAAGTCTCGGCCTGGGGCCGAGACGCTACAATAAAAGGGTGCCAACAAAAATATGGGCTGGGCTACTGGGAAACCTACGCTCCGGTGGTGAGTGCAGAGGCAGTGAAGCTGGTGCTCCTGCTTGCATTGGACTATGGATTGCTGGTCCGCCATGTTGATTTTGTCACGGCATTTTTGAATGGCTCCATTGACTGTGAGATTTACATGGAGCAGCCCGACTTCTTCGATGATGGGTCTGGGCGCGTGTGTCGGCTGCTGAGGAGCTTGTACGGTTCTCTCGCAATCCCAAATTCGTGGAGTGGGCGAGCAGTGTGTCGTGGTCTTCTGCGCTAATCGTCACAGGTTATATGTCTGCCGGGCAGACGGGGGTTGAGAAGCTGGACGTCGAGACGTTGAGCGTCTTGACGCGTACCTGTGCCGGGTTCCGGTACAGGGAGATGACTCTCGCTAACCCTCCGACGCAAGCGTCGGAGTTGACTTCGCTTCCAGTCATGAGCTGGAAGCGCTTCGCGCGTGACTTGCACGATGGACGCATCGAACAAATATGCATTCTCTCGGACGCCGAGAGAACGAAGAGCGAGAATGAAGAAGTGAGGCAGTTCTTCATGGAGAGCACCACTGAGAGCGAGGACACTCTCAGTGCGAAGACGAAGAAGGAGCGCTTTGAAGAGCAGAGCTGGGACTCGTTGAAGACGAGTCCCTACTACGAGATCTTACGGGAGTACGCGGACGTGCTTCCGGAAGAGATCCCTGCGGAACTTCCGCAGGACAAGGGCATCCAGCACGAGATTGATCTCGTGCCGGGGACGAAGTACTGTGTCGCGCGGCAGTGGCCACCGCCGCGAGAGCAGGTCAAGGCGATCGACGACTTCTTTGAGAGTCGTCGCAAAGCTGGACAAGTGCGGGAATCGAAGTCCCCGCACAGTGCTCCAACGTTCTGTGTCAAGAAGCCACAGGGCGGCTGGCGCATCGTTCATGCGTACAACAAGCTGAACGATGCGACGATACCGGCGCAGACACCGATACCGCGAAAAGATGTCATCATCGATTCGATGGCCAGGAGCACTATCTACAGTGCTCTTGATCTGCGCGATGGGTTCTATCAGATCCTCATGCGGGAGAGCGATATCCCTCTCACGGCTGTGAGCACGCCGAGCGGCATGCTCTGGGAGTGGCTAGTAATGCCACAGGGTCTGAAGAACGCCCCTGCGACCTTCAACAGGTGCGTGACGCACTTTTTGCGCTCGGTGCGCGACTTCGCACCGAGCTACTTCGACGATGTGTTCGTCCACAGCCGGGCTGCGGACGGGATGAGCGATGTTGAGATGCACAAGGTGCATCTCCGGAAGCTGCTTGCGCATAAGCGCAAGCACAAGCTCTATGCGAACCTGAAGAAGTGTATCTTCGGGGCGAGCGAGATACCCGTGCTCGGGTGTCTCGTTGGGAAGAACGGTGTCCGCCCTGACCCTGAGAAGGTCAGAGCGATCAATGAGTGGCCGACGCCGTCGAACGTCAAGGAACTGCGGCAGTTCCTTGGCTTGGCCACGTACTTGTGCAAGTACGTGAAGGACTACGCGGGCATGATACGCCCGCTGTCACAGCTCCTGAAGAAGGACGCCGAGTGGAATTGGACTGCTGAGTATCAGCAAGCCTTCGATGCAGTCAAGAGGCGCCGATCTTGGCGGTGGCCGACCAAGATCGCCCATTCCACGTTGTGTGTGACGCATCCGACTTCGCAATCGGATGTGCGTTGATGCAGCACGATCACGAGGGCCGTGATCGTGTCGTCTACTACCAATCGCGTCAGCTGAAGCCAACTGAGCGCAACTACCCGGTACATGACAAGGAGCTCCTTGCCATGAAGTACGCACTCGCGAAGTTCCGAGTGTATCTACTCGGAAGCAAACCGTTCGTGGTCTATACGGACCACGCGTCGTTGCGGACGGCTGTGAAGTCGCCGCACATCTCGCAACGAATGGCGAGATGGCTCTCATTCTTCGCAGAGTATAACTTCCGGGTTGAGTACAAACCCGGAAGATTCAATGTGGTGGCCGACGCGCTCTCGCGTCGACCTGACTACGCCACGACTGATGCCGACGTCAATGCCATTGACGCCATGCGATTGAGCACCCCGACGTCGTCACTGTTGGACGACGTGAAGGTCGCGTACGCGCACGACGCGGACGCGCAGCTCTTGCTGGCCTACGGCTCAGCGCCTTCTGACCAAGCTCGTCGGAAGCTGCCGAAGCATCTTCGTGCTCGTGCACACCGTTACCGGGTGCACGACGGGTTATTACTCTACAGTGCAGTCGACGACAACGCGGACCGCGTTGGACTTCGTGTTCGGTCTTCCCCCGGACAGCCAGGGGAACACGGGCGTTGTGGTCTTTGTTGACCGCTTCAGCAAGATGGTACATCTTGCTGCGGTACCCGCTGAAGTGACTGCGAAACAGACGGCACGTCTGTTCGTTGACATGGTGTTCAAACACGATGGCATGCCGATCGACATTGTGTCGGATCGAGACCCGCGCTTTACTGCACACCTTTGGCAAGAAGTTTTTACACTTCTTGGGAGTCAACTTTCGATGTCGACTGCGGACCATCCGCAGACGGACGGGCAGACCGAGCGCGTGAACCGCGTGCTCGTAGACGTGCTTAAGAGCTACGCGCACTCGTTCCAACACTGGAGCGAGTGCCTGCCGATGGCGGGAGTACGCCATCAACAACTCGGTGCATGCCTCGACCGGGCATACACCGTTCTACGTGAATGTCATCAGGCACCCACGCCACCCGAGTCTACTCGGGATGGTGGGTCCTTCCTTAAGTGGGGGAGGATCTACGACTGCAACGCAGCAGCCGCGACTACGCGCAAGAAGAAGAAGAAGCACGTGTCTGTGCAGGGCACAGACACCACGAAGACAAACGCAGAGGCTGGGCCTACTGCTAGAAACGAGCTGAACGAGTTCAACTCGGACGCAATCAACTTCGTGCAGCGCAGACAAGCCGTCATGTGGTTTGTCCGAGACGCTATTGCAGCTTCTGTCGACCGACAGAAGCTGAATGCAGACAATGTTGGTAGGGGCAACACTAATGAATTCAAGAAGGGTTCATTGGTTTTGTTAGCAACTCAAAACCTGCCTGAACATGCAGTTTCCGACTTCGGGGCGAGCAAGCTCGCTCCGCGCTTCATCGGGCCGTTCACGGTGTTGGCACGGTATGGCAACGCCTACACGCTAGATATTCCATCTAGCATGCGCCTCCATCCGACCTTTTACGTCGGGCGGCTGAAGCCATACCGGCAGCACGAGCCACCTAGCTCGGCTGGCCCGAAGCGGAAGTCCCAGCGGGGGCGAACCTCTACTCCAGCGCGTGAACGGGCTGGGCCGAGCGCGCGACGCGACCTCCCACGACGACAGAGATGTCCGACGCGGTCTGCGAGGCCTGATCAACTTGATCTCTCAGGGTCGCCATCTCCTGCTTCAGAGCGGCGAACTCACGGCTCTGATGCTGTTCCACAACAGCGACCCGCTCCTCGAGCGTCGGGCCAAGGTCAACCCCAGGTTGACCATACCCGGGGCGTGTTCCCACCACCGCCGCCTCCGATCCGCGACGCCCGCGGCTCAACACGCTGGATTGTTGAACGTATTGTGAACCATAGTATCCCGAAAACGAACCGGCAGCTGGTTCGTTATCGTATTCGTTGGAGAGGGTTTCCGCCCCACCAAGATACATGGGAGCCACGGGACGTCCTGCTGCAGGACGTTTCAGACTTGGTGAGGGCATACGAAGCCCACCATGCGCTACATACTGGACCGTAATGCGAGCGCTGCTGCTAACAGCAGCGCCCGAAGACACTTCGAGGGCAGACATAGGTACCTGCCCCCCGCGGCAGCGACGCGCTTCGCACGTTGCCGCGCATGCTACTCAGCAGCAGAGAGGTTCTCCGCTGCTGCGCCAGCGGTCTTCAACTTCGACGCGCTCGTTCCATTACGAGCGCGCTCTCTTCAACGTCACGCATTGACCAAGCGGTCAATGGTGGTTGACGTGCTGGGACCGGCACGTCTAACCTTGACGGGGGGATGGTGTAACGGGGTTACACGCACAAGTGGCTACAATCACTTGTAACTGTAACAGACACGACGTCTGTTAGAGGTTCGAAAGACTTTCTCGACCTTAGCGTAGACACACCAAAGGCTACATACATTTACGATCACCACGACGGGTGGTCCATAGAGACTTAGGATTCCTATTGGCTGAGAGCAGCATCTTTTAGCCAATGAGCGACATGCATAGCATTGGAATTCTGCCAACCAGCCGTTGGCAGGTTTCTATCTTAGAATATTACATTTAGAGGAAGTCAGAAACATAAAACAAAAATAGCAGTTCTCATCTTCTACCAAAACCCGCTACTTGGATTCTTTATCTTGTTTAAAGTATACTCGTGGATCTCGAGTATACTTAACTCAAGCAAAAGAATCCTACGATTCCTCATGCACGTGCGCATACGTGTAAGCCGTAGTAGTGAGCCAAGGTAGGTCCATTACAGACTAGGCCTCGGGCGGGGTGATGGCCCTCGAGGCCAGCAGCAGGACGAGCAGGCTGAGACGAGGACGCCGTGCAGGATGGCGGCTGAGTGGAGGAGTGGGAGAACAGGCTGGACGACAACGAGGCTGCAGCTCGAGCAGGAGAAGGGCGTGACGCAGGACAGCAGGGCGGACGGGTAGGTTGCGGTGTTGCTGACGCCGGAGCTGGTGTCGGCAGCCACGGCGGCGGTGGCATTGCTGGCGGAGGCGGTGCAGGAGATGGATTTGACGGAGCTACTCACGGTGATGCTGGCAGCAGCGTCAGTGCTGGCGGCGTTGGTGTAGGTGATGGTGTTGGCGGTGAAGTTGGCGCCGGAGCCCGCCCTCGAGACCGGGACGCGCAGCAGCAGGAGGAGCAGGAGCAGGCATGCGGCTGTGGTCTCGGAGGGAGGCCTTCTGGACTAGCCGGGGCTGTGCAAGCTGGGCGGTGGCGTGGGGTTGGACTGCAGCTGCGTCCCCGGTCCAGTACGGCGGAAGCAGCAGCAACTCGATGAGGTGGACGGCGGCGCGCCGGTGCTGCAGGACCGTAGAAGGCCCGCAGACTCTGGATGAGACGGCGATGGCGCGACAGATGCAGACCCGCGAGATGGAGCTGCTCTTGCTGCAGGAGGAGGGCGGGCCTGTCGACGCGGTCGCGCTAGGCGAAGAAGGAAGGAGCAGAGGCCGCCGAACCAGACGAAGAAGTTGAGGAGGGGCAGGCCGACGTGGAAGTGATTGGCGCTGGCCTGCTGACTGATGGGGGGGGACGACCATCGACTTAAGCGCGCCCAGCGATCTCCGCGGGGCAGATGTTGCAGAAGCTGCGCGTCGAGAAGAAGCGCTGAAGGGAGACATCGCCCTACCAGAAGAGCTGGAGGAAAGCGGAGACGACCAAGCGTTCAAGGACCAGCGTTACCGCGAAAGGAGAAGCGAAAATTGAGAGAGGTAGCACGCAGTATTCAAGCTAAATAAATTTGTATTATATTTAGCGGATGGGCATTGTTTTTCTGCAGAGGTGTGCTCGAGGAGCATTGAGACCGCAAGACGTGAACGCTCTTCTGATGGCGACCTTCCTGCATTGCAAGATCCCTGTTCAAATCGATATATGTCCGAACGAGCACGGTATTTTTAAAATATGAGATTTTCTTGCTTTCACTATGATCATATCAAATATTTTTTAGGATCAGACATTAGGCTGTTAGTAACATATCGGACAATTCGGGCACATGACCTTTGAAGCACTCCCATTGGTCCAAACAGTACGACAAAGGCTTCTGATAGGTGATTTGCTAGTGTCATATTGCAATGCGAAAATTGGTGTGTCCGAACTTTGATGCTATTCTACCACATCGAGTGATTTTGACTACAATAGATGGTTCCAACACATTTCCGGGAAATGGTGAGCGATTTAGACTACGGACCTTTCCTTTGGGAGTTCGCACTGAGTGATTTGGGCTAGGTACGATGATCCGCAGAAATTTTTTGTGAGTGACTACACCTTTTCAACTTCAAAATGGCAAATTGCTAGTTCAAAATGACAAAACGTAAGTTCAAACTGTCACGAATAGAGACAGGACCGTCTCACAATCTTATACGAGCACGATTGGCTGATACAGCTCACTGTCAGCCAATAGATATTCGACACGCTGTATTTCTATATATCCCACTATTACAAACAGGTCTAAGTATCGGTTTACAAAGTATTGTCGTTTTGATTGTACATTTTGACGTATTGAATTTTCTTTTTGCCATTTTGAAGTTGAAAAGGTGTAGACTACGGATCCTTCCTTGAAGACAAATGATCTAGACTACGGATCCTTCCTTGAAGACAAGAAGTAAAACGACCACAATCTAGGCTCCTCCTCAGTTCAGCTTTTTCGGTCGCCGCAGTACCCCCCCCCCCCCCGTGCTCACGGTAAAAAAACTCCGCTACTGTGGCGCCGAACTAGCTGGACTTGCACCGCATCGGAATTATCACCACCTGTGCTTCATCATCTCGCCATCGCTCATGCTATCGTAGGCGCGCAGTGCTGAATTTGTATTAGACTTTAGCATTATTCTATCTTGGTAGCAGCGCGCCGAACACCCTCCGCGCTTTAGTAGATCAAAAATCGCTGCACAAACCACTTGCATACCAACTAGAATACCGGGCATCCAAACATTTCAGAGCTGGCACCGTCGTACTTAACGTTTACCCTTAATCTCTGGAAACCGCTGTTTGATTCCATCGGATTGAGCAATCCGCCAATTGAGAAGCATTCAGCGGATTCCGCTATCCGCTAAACTGGATGAGGAACACGTCCACCGGAATCCGCTACCTCCAAATTGCACTGTAAAATTACATTAAACCACGTGTATTATGGGATAGAGTGTATGCAATTAGAGGTTCAATTAGTTGCCTTTACTTACACCTAAGCTTACGTCAAGTCCTCCGCCAAGCCCTTGTTTGCCAAAAGACTTCGAGTACTCGGGTCGTTGCCGGACTGTAATACTCACTGCGTGCACCATATCCACCGCCTGTTGTGCGCTGTCTTTGCCCTTCACCCTCGTTTGCTGGGGCACTTGCTTTCTTCTTCTCCTCCTCGTTGTACTACTGAGTGACTAGGCTCCCTGCAGTAGTCGTCTCGTTTGCTTGCTTTATCCGCGCGTTTACTGATTGCAGTCAGTCTTCCCTGTACGGCAAAATATAAGGGGCTATGAAATCAAATTGCCAAGATCAGCAGTGCATTTTTACAGCATAAGTCCAGAACATATTGTTATCACAATAAGCGGATTACATTGCGTGCGTAAAGCGGAATCGTTGAGCTACACTTCCTAACGACGAGCAGTCGTCAAGATAGCTCGTAACCAGGTCGGTTGGCCTCTGCTTTGGTGTAGGAGACTCGATCTTGTTCGTGACTCGTGCGCAGGACTCGCCAATACTCTGAATACAGTTGCTACCTCCTGTGACGTTACACAACAACTTACTGGCACTGCGATTCAAACAAATACATGTCGGTATGCCCATCAGAGTAGGAAGTTGTGTTATCTCACAACAAACTAACGACTAATTGTCTTTCAGCAGCAGCACAAGTTGTGATTCACAATGGGCGAGCGCTCCAGCTTTGTGAAAGTCAACTACTCACTATCTAGCCCCGTCAAGAGCAAACCGGCTGCGGCTACGTCAACCGTCAGCTCTTCTTCATACCGCTCATGAATCCGATGATGGGACGCTGACAAAATGAGCACGACGCCAACGGAGCCGTAGCCAGACAACGACCCGCTTCGGAGTGATAAGTATTTGCAGGGTGACGCGGTCCAACCGACTAATAACAAGCGGGTCGGCGAACCACGTGAACTTCAAATTGAGCGTGGAGATCATGACGATACGCCGCACGACGAGGCCATCTAGACCGATGACGTTTCATGGCACGGTAGTGGGAGCGTCGGTGGTCGTGTCCCTCCCTGTCCGGTGCAGGCAGCGACAAGCAGCTTTCTTGAAGCAGCATCCCGTAGTCGGTGGAGGTTGTGGTGTGGATACCCCCAAGACTGACGAAAACCGCGACGAGCGCAACTCCCCAGTCTCATTTGGGGTGTCTGCGGTGCACGACGTGGGAGCTGGAAACGTCGAGGCGTCTCCGAGCGAGGACAAGCCTCAGGGACTTAATATCACGCAGATCCCTTCACGCTACATTCGCTCATGGTGCCTAATCTCATCGGGGCACACCTTTTAAAAGGACGTATTTAACGGTGGAGGGACATGCATTAAGAAGTTCAGTAGCTGAACGCTAATGAACGCTTGTAAATAGGCTAGTTGTCCTAGAGATTGCCGTCAGCCTACTTGCTGTCGGGGCGGTCCATGTCCGTCGCGTACTCGGCTAGTGGCGTGCGTTGCCTAGGTCTTATCTTCCTTGTCGTCATCGATGAACTATGACACGAGAAGAGTCGCTGAAGGAGAAGAACACAGTCCCAGCAACTTTTACCAGTCTGACCAGGTTGGGATGGTAGAACTACGCGATCGAATCGCCTCGGAGATGTGGCACGACTTCTTGATGCTACTGGCAGGGAGGGGTGGAAGGGTCGGTGTAGGATGGCTGTGCTAAAACTACTTTAGGACTCCTGCTTCATCGCCGGATATTCAGCGGAATTAATCCTCCCGAATTTGGGCGGATAACCCTTTCGTTAGGCGGATTGACGAGAAGCATATGTAAAGTGCATATTTATCCTTCAGGCTGCTCGACTTTCTACTTGCTCTACGCCTACGCAGTACCTCATTGAACGCACTCGGCCCAAAAAGATGCCTCTTGTGTTCCACAAACGCAACAGCGGATTGTGTAATCCGCCAAAACGTACATATCCGCCAAAATGGCCCAAATCCGCTGCAATTCCTGTCTGAGGAGCACACCCACTCAACTAGTTTGCCACTCCACCGAAAAACCTCTACTTTTCCGAGAATTTCAAGAAACCATGCGATTTCTGAAATTATTAAATGACTTTACTTGATTTCATAAAATTTTACTTCATGTGCGCCACATATCAGGTGCATCGAATTAATCCTACTTCGTAACCGAAGTAGTACCAGGAAAACAGAACAGGTAAACGCACAGCGCACAACTTAGGCGCGTCGCACTTGCGGCGCACCAGACGCCCGCGCTGTGCGTTTTATAATATGAACATCCACAACTACCCGATAAGCAGACTTTTTAGTGCAATAACACATTTACGATAATACCAATTTACTTTCTTACCTCCACGCTGTTAATAACCAAGTATATGCAAGCTATTAGTGCAGCAGCGCCCTCGCAAGCATACAACTATGCTTACCTAACTTCGTCCTGGTGTTGCGTCTTCGGGTCGGGCGTGAGAATGGGAAATGATTCGAATGAAACTTGATGAGGCGATTGATGGTTCATCATCGATAGAGACCGACTAGATAATTATTCAGATGACCTATTAAGTGTACTTTCATACAACTTCAATATATGATGGATAGTTAAACGCGTGCGTTACACGCACGGCTTTATGCGACTCCGAATTGATCCTGTGCCGGCTATATCAGTAAAAAAACACTATTTAAAAATATTGTTCTTAATTGAAATTGTACAATTAAAGCAAATGTTAAAATAGTTAAATAATATTGAACTATTTTTCATTGTATGAATGCTGGAATTGCATTCAAATGCCTTATTTTGAAGTATTGTTGATGATTGTAATTGTTATATTTGAATTACAAATTTATTATTACTAATAGTCCAATAATAATGAGCTATTTTCAAATACGATATTAAGATTGACACTTATATTTGAATATCCTTTCTTATAATAATAATATATATTGCGTACGCATATTTATGGGGACAATTATTCCTATACATATTTAAATATTTTGTTTTGACACAAAATGAAATATCTCATACTAAAATATAGTTATCCTTTATAAGTCACGTTTCGAAGTCTTTACTTTAATAGAGGCTTACTTTAAAAAGTAGAGGCTCGTGGCAAAGGTAAATTGACGTTGCTCCGTATACGCCGGTATTCTATCTCTTATATAGCTTTAGATTATTTCGGATTTATCGGATTTGACGTAGCTCCAACTTCCAAGCAACTCCAGAAACTACAGTTCTCTAGTTTCTCTCCAAATTCATTAGCGTATCTTTTCGCAGATCACAAGATCTGAAAATCTTGCGTAATCACACTTAGGCGTGTCGTGACTGTCGTCGCAAGAGCAATTTGAGATCTTGAAAAAGTATCAACAATCTGTAATCACAGCTTTTAAGATCCCGTCATTTCTACAATACGACTTTGAAGCAGGCCTCGAAAAAAATAATTATTCAATTGCAATTACTGTATTTGTGTTCGGAAATATGTATTATTGGTTGCCGGTCGTATTGAAATTTCTATTATTGAAGCCCAATTTCCAGTAAAATGTTTAACTATACAAAAACCAAGTTTAACGTGAATCTCCATATAAAAGTAATTGAGATAAATTCATATTATTGGTGAATGATATATTGAAATGATTATTATGGAGACCGAACTTTTGCAATTCAATATGATACCATACCATGACGGTGCCTACACCGGCCGACACTATCTATCATTGGTGGAAATGATGAATTTCAATGATTGGTCTAAACTACTGTACTCATTAACACTTCTCGCATTTTCAGTTTGCGTCGCTGCCCCGTGACAAACTCCACGCCCCCTTCCCTCCAGGCTTCGCGAGCGGGGCATGCGGTCGTGCACGGGCGCGATCAGGACCTCCAAGATGGCTGAGCCCCAGAACACACAGGACATGACGGGCAAGAGACAGCAGAAACCGGGGTGAGAAGCCACCAAGAGCGCGGAGGACGGCGGGGGGCCCAAGGGCACGAAGGACGGCGAGATGACCAAGGGTACGAAGGACAACAGCCCTCCCCCGCTGGCACGTGCACGGCCATCTCACACACGGACGCGCGGTGCTCGTACCCGGCCACGGGCGCGTCGGGCTAGTGCTCGCACCCGCTCGGATGGCGCGCGTCATGGCGCTGGCCTCCAAGCCGCAGGCCCCGAAGCCTGCGACCACCAAGGGCTCGGCGGAAAATAGATGCACCAAGTGCGTGGAGGTCGGCGGAGGGCAACAGCGAGGAGTGGGAGGAGGAGGAGAAGGAAGACGAGGAGGGAGGACGCCCGATAAGAAGCCTCCGCCTGGCGGCCGCCCACTCGCCACGCTGCAGGCAGCAACAGCAGCAGCACGCGGAGCTGCAGAGCCAACCCAGTACCACGCCCCCGCAGCAGTAGCCGCCCTCGTCCCAGTACCGCCATTACAACCAGCAGCACCCGAAGCAGCAGCGCGGCGGCTGCGAGTTGTCGATCGCCGGGTGCGGCGGAGGGCACGCTCGCTGATGTCGAGCTTGGGGGGGCTCCTCCCGGAGGGGGTACTGCTGCTACTGGCGGCGCGGCTGGTGCCGCCGCCGCTGCATGGTGGGATGGCGCTTTCTACAGGCGCGGTGTTGCTTAATGCTGTAGTGTATTGCACGAATAGAATGTATATAACAGTGAATATTTCTAATTCTTGTACCACTCTCAACTGCTGCGGAGTCACTTACATGTATTGACGGCGGTACCTTAGCGGCAGTGGCCATAGTGTCACCAACAATGCCTCACCCAAAGCAGCTTTCTACATGACACAATGCTGCTTCGGAAATAGCGTTGCCGAGAAACTCGGTTGAATTTGTAGAGCAAGTGAAAGCGCCACACAAAACGCTTCGAACAGGCAAGCAGAAGCAATACAAAGTCAAGTGAAGTGTCGGCACCGTGCAAAATATGTGTTTAATCACCTAATTACTTAACTTCACTATAGGTGGATAACATATCTCGGCCGCCCTGCCTACATTATACGTCGGCAGGAGTGTCGGCAGCACATACACCTACCCCTCACGTTGATCATTGGATAAAATACCATCTATCGCCCTTCTCATTCGATAATAATCGGTCATCGACATATGATTGGATCATGACAGCCATACACTGGCTAAGTATAAAATCATATGTGTCGGCACCGTCACGATATTTATCCCTATCGTTACCATTCGTGACCAATCGTCTGATTGTCGGTAAGCATGTTTTAAAGTGGACAACATGTTTTGCAAACACTTCGCCGAAATAGGCATGTTTTAGCGTTTCCCCTCTTCGGCTGTGCTCATGAACGCCGCTCGCTGGCTCGCCGGACTGTTTGTGATTGAAGGAATGAAATTGCTTCGTCGCTGAGACTGCCCTAGAATTATTGTGTCAGGACTTTGTAACGTAGGACTCCTACTAGGAGGCCGTTACGTGTGGTCGTAAGCTTGTGCAATCGATGCTCGTGTGCAGACCATGGTTCAACCAGGAAATAAGGTTACAGTACTCTTCGCCACCGCATCCTACTGCTTCAGCCGGCTTTACTCATGGCGCTATTCGTTCGCGCAATATCCGATTGGACTTATTAATACAGTATAAAGCTAATGCTCCCTCCGAACACTAGGCTTAGCTCAAACTGATAGCCCAGGACCCTTCTACTTTAATGCATGTAAGTTACTTCATTGTAGAGGGCTGGACTTTTGCAACTTTGAGCATCGCGCGAGAACAAAAGTCCTCCCGCTGATGGCTCGGTCGTACATAATCAAGTTTCAAGTTTGACAATAGCAATTTGACAATATATTGTCAAAAAAATACTTTTTGCGTCCAAGCGGCGACCAAGCAGGGCGGAACATGCTGGAGACTCGCCGCAAGCTGCTCAACGCGGCGCTGGGCGGCAACATGGTGCGTATCTCCTAGTACCAACTGATGGCCAAGACGAGGCGCTCCCCATTGCTCTGCTTTTCATCTCCATCCGCGCTGTGGTTTGCCCTCGACGCGTCGATTGAGTCAAGCGGGAGAGTCCCCACTAACATCCTAATGCAAAATGACTCTACCCACTGCAGGTGCTGTCGTGCGCTCTGCTGCTGACCACCATGTTCCTGCTGGAGACGCCGTACGTGGGCTTTAACGCTGCAGTCACCGCCGGCGTCTACGTGGTCTTCACGTTCGTGGCCATCGTCATCCTCAACAAAACGCCGTCCGCCTTCTCGGTGCGGCATTGAAGCTGTTGATTGAGACCTTGCACTCTAGTAGGGCTGTCTGACGGGTGGGTGCTGTGTAGATTGGATTCCTGGTCGGAGCTTCGTTCTTGGTGCTGGTGCTGGCCTTCCAAGGGGCTCTCTACTGGGTAGGCTGAGGAGCAATCGTAACTGGAAGAAGCGTTTGCAGCTATCTGAAGCTGTTGGTGATGGTTGTGTAGGGGCTGGAGGCACGCAATAGCCCGCGACGAGCGACTCCTGGATATGTGGCGTCTGGACTTCACGCGGTGATCTTTGTGGTGCAGTGTGTGGTGACAACTGTCGTGGTCAAGTCCAAGGAGGACGTTATCGATACATACGCAGGTAAGTTGCTGCCGTCAGACCCTCGTCTACCATAGCGCGTTGGTCTTACCTGCGTGTATTACCATGTGGCTATGTATGACAGCGTACGAGTACATCCCGGACACCGGATATACCATCGACAACGTGATGCTCACCAACATCTCACGCACAGCATCACCTATCAATTACCAGGCGACAATCCCCACCGCAGACATTTGAGCAAACGCAAACAAGAAGATGTTCTGAGTGTACTAACAGAGTAAGGTCTGCTCGGGCTGAATAGAATAACCCCGCTGCACAGATTACATACATGTCCAACGAAGACGCCCTCTGGCTCAGCTTTGTGACTTGATCTCTCCGCCGTCGAGATCTTGCGTCCAGTCGAACGCTCCCCAGTCCTTCAAGAACGCCAGCACCTCCTTCTTCTCATTCTCCACTGAGCGGCGATTGCCACCCCCGCGTCGTCCGTACTTTGGCGGTGTAACATCCAGCATGCCTGCCACGACATTGACGCCAAATTCTCGTGGAAATTTGTCCTCATCTTCGATCACGTGCGCATATCCACCACGTCCTTCGCGGGTACGCCACTCAATGTGGAAGTACGAGAACGTTGGTGGCACGTGACTCTTAATGCCGCCCTTGCTCGTGTCAATGATCGGCTTGTGGGTGCTCCACTCCCCATCGGCTTGCATCAGCTCCTGCTTGAAGTAAAGCGGCGTGTCCAGCGCCAGCTCGGAGTCCACAGGAATGCACTCGATCACTGTGTGCCTCTTCCGGTGAGGTGCGCTTGTTTGCTCGATAAACACCATGCTCATGCCATATTGCTTTTCGCACATACGAACGAGTGAGTCCTGGAAGCGCGTGATCTCCTCGCTGGTCTGTTCATCTGCTTGAACAGCCGAGCACGTGTGATCACTCGGCACGATCACGCAGTGTCCGGGATGCAGGCGAGGCCGGCTTGGAACTGCTAGGTAGGTAAACTCACCCAACGACAGCATCAAATGCTTCTTGAAAGCTGGGCTCTTCATGCACAACTGGCATTTCTGCGTTCGTTGATCCCACTTCTTCGTCTCATTAACGGCGAGTGCATGTTCACGTTGTGCTTGAGCACGCCGAGTCAAATTCGAGCCGGGCTCCTGTAGCATCTTCATATCCACTTGATCCTCCTCATCGAATCCACTCGAGAGGTTCTGAGCGTTCACTTCCGTGCCCTTGTAGTGCGAACCCAGCCGAACAATATTCCGAGCATGAATAGAATCCATGTTGCCTTGGCCCACGCGGGCACTAGACATCCGCTCTTCACGCACAAGCTCCTCAAGCGAAGCTGCCACATCCGGCCCGCCAACGTCCATGGGATCTGCACGCTTCTTCTTGCCCTTGCGCGATCCATACCGCATGTCTTCTTTCTCCAGCGGTGGCAGCGCACCAGTGATCGCTTCGTAGTGCGGAACGGTTGCAGCTGTCTTATCACGCTCGAGCTTGGCCTCCAGCTCATTGAGTTGTTCTGTCAGTTTCCGGAACAGAGCAGACTTGCCCATCATCTGAGCCCGCAAGGCCTTCGCTGCCAGCTTGTTAAGCTCAGCCTTCTCGTCTTCTTTGTCGGCACTACTTCTTGCCGAAGAAGCCGACACGGAGCTTTTATCTGGTGACCCAGGAGCCTTCATACCCACAGTATCTGGTGATCTGTTCTGCTCGGACATCGAAGTGGTTGAAGATTCCGATACGCCACCAGCATCCGCGGAGGTGGCCGGCTTCTTGTTGCCATACAGGAACGCATTACGCTTCTCCAACTGCAGTCGCTCAGCTTCTAGCTTTGCTTGATCGATGACACGAGGAGCTGGAGCTTTCTTCTTCTCTTCAGCCGGAGCTGGTGATGATGACTTCTCATTCTTAAGCGGCTCTCTCCTTCCCTGCAGCTTGCGTTCAATCTTATCAGTTGCTTCGCGCCTAATTGGAGAGCGAGATCTAGAGCGAGAACGTCTGTTTGACGTTCTGCTTCGCGGACGCTTGGCGTGGTCATACCTGCCACGACTGCGGCTACGACTGCGGCAGCGACTATGCTTTTGGCGACGCGAGTCGCTTCTTCTCGAGTTTCTATCGTCATTCTCTCGTGGACGACTGCTGGAATGCCGCTCATCACGTCTGGAGGCCCCCGTCCTCGCACCACGGTCTTCAAAGTCAGGTAGCTTGTCGTAGTCAATGGGTTCGTCCTCCTCGTCCTCCTGGTTGCCTCTGCGCGTAAGGCTTCGATCCTTACGCCTTCCTTCACCGCGTCCGCTCTCCTCCTCCAGATCCTGCGTCACCGAGCGCTGCACTCTACTCGAATACTTCGACAGCAACGTTTTATCCTTGGCATCCCTTCCAATCTCGAGCGTGCGTCTCGTTCTACCACCCTCCTCCTTCTCTTCCACCCGATGGCGCTTGTACTGCAAGTGGGCATTCTCCCTTGCGGAGCCTCTCGCGCTCTCTCTGAGCTCGCTCACCGAGCCAAATCTCTCACCTACTACCTCCTCTAGAGCCACGCCAGAGGCACGCGCTCGGTCCTGCGCGCGTTTGAGCATCTTGGCGCGCCAACTGGCGCCTCCGTCTCCGAAGAGCGTCATCTCTTCGTCTTCTCCTCCTTCGGTCTCCTCCATTGGTGCTTCTTCTTCTCCCCGTACTACCTTGCTGGAGATTGTGGGGGCCGCGTCGGGGTTCTTTGGGTCGTAAAGACCGTAGACCATGCCCGTGACGGGCTCCCGCATACCGGCGTCGATCTCCTCCTGGATCTTCTTCTGCTTGGCTTCGGCCTGCAGCTCCTCCTGCGTCTTGAACTGTTCTACCGGTTCTACCTCTCGCCTCATGAAGGGCATTGACATCCAATCGTCGCGGGGTAGAGAGTTCCTATCCTGGGTAGAATCCTGTGTCTTCTTCTCATCTACTTGATCTTCTTCTTCTTCTTCTTCGCTGCTGCTGCTGTATTCTCGGCGCTTTCTCTTGTGCTTCTTCTTATGCTTACTGTCTTTCTTCTTCTTCTTGCTCTTGTCCTTCTTCACACGCCTCGAGTCCTTCTCGTCGCCCTCCGAGCGGCGCACGAACGTGAGCCCCTGCAGCAGCGAGCTCATGGTTCGAATGGCTCGATGATACAGCTCTAATAGTTATTATGCGCTGATTGGTTGAAAATGTGGTGAATATCGACCAATCAAAGCATTTAAACAAAGTTGAAGTTGCCTTGCACATTGAGGACATGGGTTCAGGATTTTAGGACACTTTTCGTAGCACTTGCAGCCCTTCCGGTGTGCACCCGAGCTCTACAAACTTGTTGTCAACGACAGCTTCGTCCGGGTCGATGGACGCTCGAGAGAGCTGCACGGAGAGGGACAAGTAAGGCGGCATCCTCGAGATGGCTGCGGCCTCCCTCGGGGTTATGGTCGGATCGTCGTGGGCCGCGATGATATCGATGGTCGTGTCAAAGCCTCGCGTCTGCAGCAGCTTGGACAGACCCAAGACGGCGTAGAACTCGCCCTCGGACTCGCTCCGGGTCGACGCGTACATGTCGTTGCGGAAGTACAGCCTCAGTGTCGGGTTGTTGCGCAGACACGCCTGCACCATGAGCGTCGTCCCTGCCAGCCAGAACTTGTGCGTGCAGTTGAACTGCACCTCGAGATGCGATGCATTCATCAATGCTGACTGAGTTGCAATTGCATCCGCCGATACCGAGGTGGACAGCGTTCCAGAAGGAGTTCTCGAGGTTCCTGGCAGCCGCTCGAGAGCAGACCGCCGCTGCGAGAACAACGTGTAGTGGCACTCCCATCGGCAGCACGAACGCTCTCGAGACTGCAGGTTGTGCGCCTGGTTGATCAGAAATACGAGCGACCACATCCACTTGCGATTGCGAGGAGACGGGAGAATCATTGACGAGCCGATGGTTGGTGGTGTGGAGTTGTTGTTGTCTTCAGCTTCAGCAAGCTCCGAGCGCGGTGAAATGATGGGTTTGTTCAGCAGCATGGCCATTTGTGAGGCACTCTTTGCCGGAGCACCAGTGCTGTCACGAAGAAGCTCCTGCTTTATAGCAGTGGCCGATGCCGCCTTCGCGTCCTCCTCGTTGTTGTCGGGGGAGTTATTAAGACCCATTTGTCTGAAATGGGCCTCTTGTTGCTTCAAATTGGCTCGCTCGATCATCTGCTCCAGCTCCTTGTCCATTTCTTCATCCTCGTCCATCAATGAAGTTCTGGATGATGTCGGTCTTGTGGTGCCGGTAGTGCTCCTCCGTTGGGTCATTATGGTCTTCTTTGGAATCTCAACAGGTTCAGGAGCTGTGGGGGTTATCGGAGGCGGTTTTCTTACGAAAGTACTTGATGCTCGAAAGCAGTCCATCCACTCAGATGACAAGGCATCACCTGTTGTGTACGTCTCGTCAGGGACAAAAATTCCGTTGTAAACTCGCAGTCGATGCTGCGACGTGAGCAATTTGGAATCGACGTAGCGCACGCGCTCGAGGCCGATGTTTCCCTTGATATTCAGCATCTCTCCGGTGATAGCCATGCACGCGTAGTAGTCGATCTTCGTCACGTACGAGCTGCGGAACTGCGTCATTCGGATCTTCGTAGATCCCAACACGATCGCGTGACTAGGTCCGTGCATCTGCATAACTAGATCCGACATGCTTCCGGCGGCTGGTACCAGCGCCGCTCGCCGGTTCTTCGGTCTTCGTCTCGAGTTCGACGTCATCGGATCTTGGAGAGGCGGCTCCGTAGCGCGGATTAGTTGGACTCGGACGCTGTTGTCTTCAGTGAGGAATGGCGTAATACCGCTTGTTTCCTTCAACTTTGACTGGAGCGGCGTGCGTGGCGCGAAGAATGGTATGGTACGAATCAAGTTCGTGGGGAGCCAGTAGTTGGCGTCGTTGTTGTTCGATGGCGGTTGGTGCTGACGGAACGTCTGCGAGTGGGATAGTTGCTGCCAGGAACTCTGCCGTCTTGAAGACTGCGGCTCCGATTGATCACTATCCGCTCCGTCGTCTTCATCACTCAGAGAGCTGGCAGTGCTGTCTCTCCGTCGACGCGCTCCGCTTGGTGCTTTCTCGCTTGCCTCCATGATATCGTCAGGGTTAATGGGGATACACTCGGTATATCCCAATGCATTGATACGCAAGTACAGGCGCGACGCGTTCGCACGTTGCGTTCGTTTCCTCCCTTCTGCTGCTGCAACTTCATCTGCGGCCGCTTCTATTCGAGCATTCTCCTGTTCAGCGTTGTAGAGCTCCGGAGGGATGTCGTAGATGGCGTTGATCACCAATACCAAGCGACACAACGTAAGTTGCGCTGGGATGACGGAAGCGCTCACAGTCGGGTCCAGCCCATAGCTTGGATCTTGAACTCGACTAAGCCCTTCTGTCACCGTCTTAGTGTTCGGCAAGCCCAACGCGGCCGAGAATTTCGTCTCGATGCGCTGCAGTTGTTGGTCGCGCTCGTAGATAGCATAACAGTGGCTGCAGACACTCCACGACTCGTACGCAACAGCTGACTCCGGTAGCTCCCGAGCGAATGCAGCGGAGAGAAAAGGTAGCGTCTTCTCTGGGGGCAGACGAGATCGGATCCGCAGGAGCATGTCGTTGATCATCTTCAGCGTCATCTTGAACGACAGCTCACTGCTTGGGTAGGCTGCGAGACAACACTTGCATTGGACCAATTTGTGAATATGTCGTTGTGATAGAGGAACAATCGCTCGTCGGTGGCGCAGTCGAGCCTTGCTGCGTCGATCCTCAGTGTCAAAATTGTCATCGTCCTCTTCGTCGAGGATCACCGTGTCACGATAGTTCAAGTACGCCATTCGCAGCTTTAGAGGTAGCGAGAACACACGGCCAGGATGGACTTTGTTCTGCACCTGGAACGCCTTCACCTGCAGTAGCCACCACTCCCCACCAGCATCTTTGACGAAATCCGCCACAAATGTCTGGAGTGAAACTCTCCAACGCTGCTCGATATACCGCACTATCTGAAAAACACAAACGAAAAATTGCAGGAAAAGATAAGTGAATCGTATTCGGGCCAGGATGTCACCGAGACAGCAACTTACTCGCAAATTCAGCTCGGAGACAGCTGCACACCCACGCTCTGTTAGCTTGACGAACGTGCAGCCTTTGTCCGTTTGAACACTCGTGCAGAGTCGACTGACCAGTGGAACTCCCCCAGGACCATCCGGAACAGAAGTCGTAATAGTTGACGAGCTACTTGACCTTATCAGCCCTGGACGCGGCGAGTTCTGTGGCCCAGCAGTTCCCGAGGGTGGGGATTGCGGCGCACTCGAGTCTCGAAATGGCTCGATGTTGCTGATCATCCACGCGTGTGGCGGCTTCCCCGCCTCGTAGACTGCTCGCTGAACGAATGCCTTGGACCCATTGCACTTGACAAACTGCTGGAGAGCGAACGACTTGTGCATGGCCATGACCCCGTTCAATAGCGTCTTGACCTCTCCGAGATTCAGTAGCCGTAGTTGATTGCCCTGCGAGTTGAATACCGGCGAACCTTGTTGAATGCTGGTACTATTTTGCTGGTTCGCCATCGTAGTGATGGGTTCTTTGTAGACCACGAGGTGTTGTTCATCCGCTATTGCCGGAGCACCGTCCGCAAACTTATCGAGTACTTGCTTGTCACTAAACTCGGTCAACCGCTGGACGTATCCCTCTTTGTCGGTGTAAATCCACACGGCACGCCCCGTTTCGCCGTACAAAATCGTATCCGGTACGTTCAGCTTCAGCGCCAGATTCTGCTTTCTCGCTGTGAGTCTTGAGCTGTTGTCACCTGACCCAGACGCATTGTTAACACTAATGCTGTGACTTGGCACCCCTCCTCTCGCAGTTCGTGGTGGAGCAGCCTCTTTCGCGGCGAGGAATGTGTAGAAATGAACTCCTGGCATAAAACTCGTCGAGTAGGAGAAGGCTGTGGCTGGATCAGTGTACGAAACCACACTAGCGGCGCTTCGGTAGCGAGCGACACTCCGATCCACGTAGATCTCCCCCTGGACTCGAGAATCCTCACTATTGGTGCAACAAGAAGAGAAGGAACGAAGGTCATGAGATCGAAGAGGTATACCCAAATCCTTCAATGGCAGAAGCGTACGGTTGTCCGAGGTTTGAGCTTTGGCCCAACTCTGCTGAGGTCTTTTCCGCTTGGGACAACGCTGTCTGTAGTTTCTGCTGTACGAAGCTGGCCCGGGCGGTGCTGGGTCGACGGGTGTTGAATCTTCGAGCTTGAGATGGCTCCTCGCTATTGATTTGCGGTGGAGAGGCTCCATCACTGATCAGCGTCGACATGAAGCTGCTCCCGCCCCCAACTCACGGAGCATCGTCTGGAATACAGTATCTGCCACGAGAGACTCTCCGCCCAACGTTGAAACCGCACAACGTCGGTGGGCGCGTCGTCTGGGGGATAAGTCAACTATTTTTGAGCAAAACTTGCAGACAACATTTTCCCTCCGAGTGAGTGCAGCGGCGAATGTCTCGTTGGCGCGATGAGTAGCGGTGACTTCCAAGCTACGGCAACGCAGTTGCTACATCGACAGTCAAGCTCACAGCAGCATCTTCGCCAGTACACGTTCGCCGCAACTATTGCAGTTAGTCAAATGTTACGGAGTCGAATGCTACGATCGTGGCCACCTCACATTTTAATATGCGCGTTGGTAGGATCGATTCTTCTCGGATAACTCGCTGGATCGGCAAAAGCGCGTCGTAGAATGCGCCAGGAGGAGGCAAGCTCGCGCTCGCGATAAAGCCTTGCAACAGGTTTGTACGCCGAAACCTGCAATTTCGAGTTAGTGACCCGCTGATGCTGACTATCACATTGAAGGCCTATCGTGTAGAGCAATTAGAGAATGAGCTCGCCGAAGCAGAGCGAGTTCGAGTACTGAAGGAAGAGCGGGAAGCTTCCCGGATGGAACGAAAGTTGCAGCACGTTACTGCAGCCTACATCCAGTACATTTGGAGGCGATACTGCCAACTAAGGACAGAAGCGGCGTACCGACACGCTCGAGCTGAGCGATTCCTAGTTGATTTCCTTTCATACAGGAGCTGGCGAAGGAAGAGAATCCGACGTCACGCTTCGTTTCGGATTCAGCGCAAATGGCGCAGGCATCGCGTGGAGAAGAAGACACGACTCAGTCTCGCCGTGGTGGGGAGGTTCTTGCTCCCTCTAATCCAGAAGCGCAGAGTTCGGGCACAGCAAAATGCAGTGAGAATACAACGCTGGTATCGGCATCAACGCGCTCGACGGCGTGACAAGTCGGCTCGGACGATCCAGCGCGCGTGGCGAATATCCGTCTCCAAGGCGAAGATCAGGTACTACTCGAGGGCATATCGCCACCTCGCCAACTTAAAGCGTCTCGAGCACTCAGCTCGAGTGCTGCAGCGAGCTCTGGGAACTCGGGTCTTACAGCGTCGAATGCTGTACTTCCCTGAATTCGACGAGCATCCGAGTCTCATGGCTGCGTCCTGGCCGCCTCTGCGCCCTGCAGAAGAGCGCGCGCAGGAGTTCTGGAAGCTCGAGAAGCGAGCGCTGGAGGAGGCGACAGCAGAGCGCAAGCAGCTTGAGAAAGACGAGGTAGCACTGCAGTCCGATATTGAGAACCTTCAGCGCCGTCTAGCGGACGCCAAGCTGAGACGAGGCGAAGAGAGCGATCGCCTGCGTCGCCACTCCTCGCTGGAGGAGCATCGGCGACTCAAAGACGAGGAAAACAGGCACAAGCGCCTGCAGGAGCTGGAGGAAACTATGCGAAGGTCCATCCGGCTGGAGCTCGAGCGGGAGCTGGACACGGCGAGGAGGCTCACGCTGCGCACCAAGAGACATCACTTCAATGTAGCCATCTCAGACGATCAACGGGTCGAGCTCACTTAACTGTAAGCAATATCACAGTGCCTATTTTATCGAATAAGTGTTCTCATTGGTTAAAAAATATATCCGCAAAAACCAAAATTATGGGGAAGGAAGAGCTGCTGGATGCGCTCGCGGGATTGCAAGCTGCGGCGTCTGTGGAGGGTATTTCCGCGCAATTCGAAGTGATCCATGAAGGTGAGACGCAGGTCTATCTACCTATATAAAATTTATTCTCCGTCTAAGCGTATTGACTGAGATATACAGCTCTGAGCGACATCCATCGCAAGCGCTGGAGGTTCCTGGAAGATTCTTGCTCCGTCGTGCTGCGCCAAGTGTTCGGGTTGGTGTCAACAGTTGACGATGATGACATGCAAGATATCGACGCTAGACAAGTGACGATTTCGATGCAAGAGGGGCTCAACCTGGGTCTCCAGTTCATCGAACCGTTGATACAGTCGACATTGTCACTTGTTGACGCTCTGGAGGACGAGCAAGAGGCCACGAACCAACGAGCGGTGCTGGTTGCAGCTCTATTGCATCTATTTTCAAAGGTTTCTGGGATTTCTGGGCTCAGCGACTTGAGGGTGCGACTTGTGGCTGACATTCAGAGGTGTGGGGTGGAGCTTCATGTCATCTTTGCAACCCTTCGCTTCCGAGAGGAGCTGGTGGAGTGCCGTCGAGCGTTGCTGCCTTCGTACGAGAGCGACTCAGAGACGGAGTCTGACCTGGACTCGGAGGATGATGATGGCATGGCGGGCGACGCGGAGGAGTTTACTGTGGAGGATACGCAGTGGATTACGGACCAGGTGGCAAAAGGGTGGGGCTTGACGCAGTACAAGTATTTCCTGCAGACCTCGGGGCAGGAGTACGCGTTCACTGCGTGGTCATACCGCGGAATCGGAAATTTCGTGCACGCCCTGCTTACAGATGAGCAGCATGGACCAAGTGCTCTGTCGGCCGTAGTGTCCCCGTTCTCGTGGTTGTTCCATATAGCTGCGTACTCTCACTACATGATTCACTCGGAAGACCACCAAGTACGCTGTTGTGGTATCAAGTTAGGAAACATTATTGGGGAATAATCTGCTCTTTTGTGTATTGTTACAGGACCGCTTGCGTGGACTTAAGCTCCTGCAAGCTGCAGTGCGGCTTTGTCCTTTGAGAAAGCTGACCCTCCATGTCAATCACAAACGCAATTCCGAGACGGAGAAGCCGCTGTCATTTCGCGAACAAGCTGCGTGTACGTTTACTCGAGTGATCTTATGCAATCAAGCCCCGATGTTCACTGGTCACTTTTTCTTGCTCCTCCAGCTTTTCGCAATAGAGACTGGATGTCTCCATTGATACAGGTCATCACAAACGCGATGGTTTCGTTTCTGGCGGCCAAGGATCGATCGGCAACGCTGACCGTCCTAAAAGAGTTGGTCTCCAAAGTCTCGCCCATCGATCTGTAAGGATAGCTATCAACCCCAGCTGGAATTATTGTGTTTAACACTTTGTATTTTATCCATGTCGCCAGCTTTGAATTGCTCCGGGGCCTAATCACGCAGTGCCGATACGGAAACGTTGCCGCCGTGCTTGTCGATTTTGTTCGAGGCGACGCAGTTCAGGTGTGGTCTTCCCCCGACAAGAACGAGCAATCACGTACGTACCAACCTCAAAACGTCGGTGAAGTAGCAAACTGACCCACAAAGATCTGTGGTGATTTCGTGAGTAGCTTTCAAGACATCAGCGATTCGCTTGCTGCTTCAAGATGCGCTGACACAAGCAGCGGAACGCGACCTCGTTCTACATGCTGATCTAGTTGCGAGTTGTCTGAGTCTTCTCAGGTTCCTCTACATCCGTGACAAGGTTCGTTCATCATTGGTGAGCAACGCTAACGCGATAGGCAACTTACATACTCTTTCGTACCCCAGGATAACGAGACTGGTGTTCGTACCAAGTCGGCTGATTCCACGATCTGGGAAGTGTTGATGCGTACCAGCAAAAGACTCCAAGTAAAGATCGAAGAAACGATTTCTGGTCACAGTGGTGAAGGCGAGCAACATTCGGTTGACAACGACTTCACGCATTTAATGATCTTGGAGGCCTCTCTCGGGTCGACGTTGGAGCTTTGCAACTGAAGCCGGACAGCCCCTCAGCCTTGTCCAAAGAATTGATCACAGTTTTTCCGCGCTTGATCAAAGGAGACAAACTGGCGTGTTTGGCTGATTTGATTATACGACTCGGTACACTGGGAAGTTCCAGCTCCAGTGGCGTATTCAAGTCAACTGCTGCGAACGGTTCTAATAACTCGGTCACCTTTTGCTGGAGAGCTTGATCTCGTATCAGCACTTCAACGAGGTTGTCTTTCTGTCCCAGACAGCAAAATTAACTATGAGAATGTGGTAAAACTCTGTGGTAAGGATTGTTTATCATCGTACCAGTAGATCGCTGGCAATCGCGACCCCAAACAGCTTGAAAATGTCGAAGTGTTCGTCTGCAATCGCCTTTGCTTGGGCAACTCTGGCTGCTATGAGCTGCTTCATAGTTTCTATGTTTCCAGCAGCTTGAAGAGCCAGGAGAGAGTGGAGAAATCTTTGATACGTGTCTGGTGTGGTGGGATTATCGGTACCGGTGCCCCCGTCAACCACGAATGCTGCCTTGAATAGTAACTCGGACGCCGACAGTGACAAATCTTGAAGCGGAAGCCCCAGCACCTCCGTCTCGAGCCTAGATCTCACTTGGCTTACTGTATGCTCTGCCACTGGCTCGGAGAATTCTTCAACGGGCGTGACTTCAGCAGCAGGTGCTTGATCCCGTTCGACTACTACTCGATTTTTGAGAAAATGCTCAAAGTCGGCACTAACCCGCGCTTCTCTCACAATGTTGCGCTTGCTCACACGAGTGCTCTGCTCGTGAATCTCTTGAATAACGCTGTAAATGCTCCTTGCCAAAGGACCGGGGAGATTCCATGACACCAGTTCGCCTATGCCTCGCACATTGTACAAAATATCGTACGCGGTGTAGCACCGATTCTCGAGCAAAGTGTGGAGGAAGGGCTTTACAGCTTCCATAGCCTGCTGCTCGCTTCGAATCTGCAAAAACGGAAGCAAAACGAGAGGAACATCGTGAGGACACCGCCATTTCGCTAATAGAATGGACAGTACCTTAACGAGTGGAGACTCGGTGCGCAAATATGACTGGAAAATGTCCGCGTTGCGGTAATCGCACGCCACAAATCCCCCTTTTTCACCTCGACTCCCTGGGTCGTAGCACCTTAGCGCGGCAACGAGCAGCAATCGAGCAATTGGCGCATTCATCCCTCCTGGGATACTCTCCAACAAATTCGCCGAGATAAACGCATCCGTTCTTCGCTTAGCCGCCGGCTTCTTGGTTGAGATCTTACTATCCTTTTTCGAGGTAGATACAGTAGTAATCAAGGCCTTGTTGGGGTCGCGGGATCCACGCAAAATTCTTTCCGATGTCCATGGATTCGTCATTAGAGGGGCACGATTGTGAAGTGCTGATAGAACCAAGTCGGCATCCTCGATGTTCTTTCCCTGAGCTTGTAGACCGCGCCTGGATTCCATATAACGTCAAATTTTCCAGTAAGAAATGGACAGAAAACAACAGTAGAAGGACCTACATGACTGCGATGGTGTCGTCCAGCGAAAACCCCTTTGCCATAGCTTGTCGAATAACTTTAGGTGGGAAATCCGCGGGAAACACTTCATCTTTCCTCTTGTTGGGGCTCAGCGCCACGAGATCTTCAACGAGAGCTGACTGCAACATGGCCTGGGACACTGAACTCCCACTCGAGTTGTCTTCTTCACTACTGTAAGCTTTGGTAACCTGGCCAACACCGCTGACAATGGGACTTTCTAATGCTGAAGCAGTGAACCAGTCCTGTGCATACCCCACCCATTAGATCACTACAAAGACAATCATTGCAACACCAAGAGATAGTACCTGCATCATTTGATCCTCATCAAGTTTGCGCTGCCGAAGCACCGTCGACATGAACGTCGTCGCGTCGGCCTCTTCTTCATCGATCTTGTGCATGAAGCGCCGATAATCAGCGTCGATCTCCAGGATAAACCCCCAGAAGTTCCCAGAAACGATGAATTGGTCGACAAGAGCCCCGACCCGGTCTGTTAACGACCTCCTTATCTTAATCCGCTTCAAGTAGATCCGGTCACGGAATCCACGGTAGATCCGCTGGATCAAGATGGCACTAGCCAGCGTTCTCCTTAGCGCGCGAAGTTTTGCTTCATGAGTCCCTAATTTCCAGGTTTTTAGCGCGTCATGAAGCACAAATCTACTGTAGATGTCGAACAACGCATCGAGAGATTTTCTTTTCCGCGCTGCGATGACTGCCTCTGCCTCTTTATTCGACGTCAATTTCCTCCGACGTTTAGCTTCGATCACCTTGAGGGAGAAGCGTCGGATCACGTTTGCTGCATCGATCTTCACTTCGTCACGCCGTAGCTGTAAGAGAAACTCTCGCTTCTTCTTGGCGACGAACATGCGCCACGTAGCTTGAATCTCTAGCGCTGCAGACAGCGAGACGTCTTCATGGAACGCGCTCAGGACGATTTTCCACCTGCGAAAGCGGAAAAACGCTCTGATTGTGGCCTGAAGTTTCCGTGCCGCAAAATCTCGGACGTACTCGCGAATGGTCTGAATCAAATATGTACGTTAGTACCTATTGCTGTTCTCGGTTAGCTGCTGCGTGCCTGTTTTACCTTGATGTTGCTCTGCTCCGTGGCAATGGTAGCAGTCGCTTTCTCTAGTCTTGCTTTCAGATCTGGTACAAGCGTTTCAGCGTCGACCAATTGTTTAGAGAACGAATCAAAAACATCCGAGTCCACGCGTGGCTGCTCCTTCGTCATTCTTCTCATGTTTGCAGCCGCTTCAACTCTTGAAAAGAATACCAGCACGATGTTAGAATTCTACGCGCAAAAGCATATCAACCAGAGAGAACTTACTTCATCTCTTCCAGCTTCTTGATCGCTTCTTGTGCCTTTATCAAGTCTTGGGAATATTTGGTGCGCAACTTCTTTTGAGTCTCAATCGTTGCCATCAAGACTGCGCGAGTTTGGATCATAGCGAGTCGCATCTGATGCAACTTGTTGTACATCGGGGTCTTCTCGTCCACACTGCGCGTCACAGTCAAACTTTCCCAGTCAAATCCTAAGCGTAATCCCACAGTCAAGTAGACTACTTACTTCCAGTCGGGCTTCCGCATCCGAAAAACGCAGTTTCCTCGCAGAAACACCCGATCAAACGCCAACTCAGCAAAGTACTCGGCACTCTTCAGACAACGCCGTGGGCCGGAAGTGGATCTCCTTCTGGCTCGAGTTCCTTCGCGTGCGTTAAGGCGACAATTGACACAAACTCCACACACGAAAACTTTGGTAGATTCCGCCTGCCTCCCCATCTCGCACGTGCACGGCCGGCCGGCGTGGCATCCGCACGGACGCATGGTCTCATCCTCTTCTTCCGCGCGCACCATAACTCGTCACTCAGTGAGGGAGATTCACACTATTTCCAGCTAAACCTGTCTGAGAATTGACTCGAGTTTTGAACACAGAAACAGATATTGTGGAAACCGATTATATTGTCTAATTGGAGTATAAATCGGTTGATTAAGCAGATGATTAAGCTTAATCGAGTCGGATTTAGCAAATCCGACCTCCTAATTAGATCGACAGACTAAGATTTGTACTCTGATTTGACAGAGCAGTCTGTTGTGCCTACATCGCCATGTGGCAAGCTGATTTAGCTACTCCACGACTTACCAAGCCTTGGACGGCTGATTTGCATGCTAATCAGCCCGAATGTCCGACACCCACTCGGCATTCGGCGGCCTATTTTAAGTAAAACTGACAAACGCTAATGCTGACGAGAAATGACAGCGCAAATACATGACTTCACAACTTAATAAATAGATAGCAGTACAGTACATATCGACTGCTCACAGAAGCGTATTTAATGCACGCGATGCTATTCCTCGTTAGTAGGTGCGCGAAACATTAGCTCGTGGCGGTAAGTGGTTGTTCCTCTCATTGCAGGCGGTAATGAGGCAATCCCCATTTTATTAACCTTACACCGATTTATACCCTTACCGATGCCATATGAAATCATAGGAATCCTCGATTTACTACTAGTCAAATCCCTCATGAACGCTGCTTTATCAGCTAATCCGCTCGGACAATATAATCGGTTTCCACAATAAACTTTGATGCATTTTGTTTAACTTGTGAATTCACTGCCCATAGCTTCTGAGCAATGTTCACGACGCTAAATGACATGATTTCCGCTTAGCTAACATTCAGACGAGCGTGCAGAACGAGCTTACCGCCCTCGGACGACTGCGGGATCCACATCAGCAGTGAACCACCTCCCGAACCGGGCAGGCCGAAGAGACCCGGACGCCAGCGGTCCAGGTACAGCGTCTTGTCGCCGAGCTCCTTGACCGTGGACGTCCACTTGACCCTGGTGTTGGCCTTGACCTTGACCGACGCGAGCTTGTCACCGCCCGACTTGATCGCAACGTCCACGTCCTCGTTGTCCACGCTCTCAAAGATGATGGTGACCGAGCCGTCACCCTTCTTCTTCCAGATACCGTAGCTGCCCAGGAAAGCCTGGTCCACCGTGGTCAAACCCAGAGCGTCGTACAGAGTGCCATCGTCGATTTCGCCGATGTACTCGCTGGGGCCACAGATGGGCTGGATGAACTCAGACGCCATCCAGGCAATACCCGTAAAGTCGAGCATGGACAGGAAGAACAGACCAAAGTTGGCGTACTCGAGGGCCTTCTCCTTCTTGGCAACGTGCTTGCCCATGTCGGTCGTGCCGTCCTCGATGAGCTGCTCAACGATGACGCTCAGCTGCTTGCGCAGCATGTTGCGCGTGGTGTAGGACGACGCGCCCGTCTTGTTGGTCCAGATCTGGCCCATGCAGTGGTTGGTGACCACCGGGATGTCCGTCTTGATGATGGACGACTGGCTCACCTCCACGCGCACATCGTTGGCGGCGGCGTTCGGCGTGGTGTTGCGGATGTCGTAGACCTTGCCAATGACGCGGTTCGTCAGCGTCTTGATCTCGTAGCCGCACGTGCCGTTCTTGGTGTTCAGGAAGTCGTCCAGTTGGTACGTATTGCCGTCCAGAGCCGTCGAATTCATCGCACCCGACTCACGCAGCATGAGCAAGACGTTGTCGGACGACGCGAACAGGGTCTCGCCGACCATGACGGCCATCATGACGATGGCCGACACAATAGCCAGAATGGTGGCTGAGAACATGAGCTTTTGCGGGATCTGCAGGCCGAGGCACGACGAGATGGCGAGCGGCAGGTCGAGGATGACGATCTGCAGCTGGAAGGCCTTGTCTAGGAGCTTCTGCGTGTCGGTGACCGGGATCGTGGTCTGCTTGTAGCGCAGGTAGTACACGATCGACTTGACGGCGTTCACGACGTTGATAGCGCACGTAAGGACCAAGTTGGCGGTCCTGTAGGCAGCCACGAGCGAACCGAAGACACCCAGTGTAAGAGCGTTAAGCGCCACAGCGGCTACGGCAGCGACCTTACCCACAATTTCCTGCGTGCAGTCGGCATTCTGAGGGATACACTCATTCAGACAGTCGATGGGGTAGTTAAGCGGACACTGAGTGACACACTTGTCGTCGTCCTTGTTGTATCCCGAGGGACACAAGCCCTTGCTGCTCGTGTCGAACTTCTTTTGGTAGCAGGCGTTGTCGGAAGCGGTATCAAGGGGACCGACCCAGTTGCGGATCGTGGTCTCGTAGTTGTACACGTCCTCGGAAGCGTCGGCAGGAAGAGCCACCACATCGGTGACATAGAGATCCGAGGCTGCAATCCTAGTCCAGATCGGACCAAGGCAGAAGATGGCACTACTGCTGTACCGGCCGTGAAAACCGGCGAACTGGTAGCCCTTAGGAGGCGTCAGGACGATGCTGTTGGCCGTCTTGGTACCGACAGAGAGCTTCTTCTTGGAGGCCGTGGTGATGGCCAGGTAGAAGATGCACGTCTTGCCCTTGTTCTTGTCCCAGTGGATCTCGAGCTTGGTGACCGTGTCGCCCATTTCCCAGCTCAAGAACTTCTCGGTGCCGCCCTTGCCACCGTGCACCAGGTTGCCGACAGCGTCCTGCGAGTAGACCAAGATACCGACCTGGTCCAGACGCTCGTCACCGCGCATCGTGAAGTTGAGAATCATCTGCTGAAACCTGATGTTCTTAATGTCCGAGAAGGCGGTACCGTGCTCCTTGCCACCGTACAGCTTACCCAGGACGATGTCCTTGTCCTCAATCGTTTTGTTCTGGGGCTGGGTCGGGTCGCCGAACAGTTCGATGCCGCTGCTGCCGGAACCGAACATTTCCAAGAAATCTTGATAGGTGAAGCTGCCAGAGCCGAGAGCGAGGTCCAGACCACCCGAGCCCGACATGTCCAGTAGGGCGGACAGGTCTTCGCTGCCGGAGCCGGCATTGCTGCCGAGCAGGTCGTTAAGTGATTCACCGGACGCGCTGTCGTTAAGCAGGTCGTCCAGGGAGCTGCCGGACACGTCGCTGCCAAGAAGGTCGTCAAGGTCGCTACCTGAAGCGGCCTTCGAGGCACTCTCAGACTCGCTGTCGGCGGCAACAACCGGCTTCTTGGTCTTCTTAGTGGTCCTCTTAGGCTTGGGCGTAGCGGTCTCGCTACCAGAAGCCGAAGCACTTTCGGAGCTGCTGGTGACTGTAGCAGGTGGCTTCTTGGTCTTCCGCTTGGGCTTGGGTGCCGGTGCCTCACTGCCGGAAGCGCTTTCGGAAGCAGCCGCCGAGTCGCTGGAAGGAGCGGCTGCCGCCACAGGCTTCTTGGTCTTTTTAGTCTTAGGAGCGGGGGCTGCGCTGCCAGAGTCTTCGTCGTCACCGGCACCAGTCGAACTGTCGGCACCCGCCGACGCCGACGAGGTTATGCCGGCGCTCCTCTCAAAGTCATCCTTGAGACTACCGAACTTGGACATCATGCTGCTGTAAGACGGTCTCACGTAGGCAGTACCCGGGATTGGGGTAGTGGTCGCCAAGGACCCGTCCGAGTTTGATGCAGGGGTGTCGGAAGTCGTCGAGCCGGCCTTGGACTTGTCGTCATCGTTACCTGTGATCCAGCTCCAGAATCCGCGCTCCTCGCCCTCCTCCGCGTTCTTGTTCAAGGACGTGGGGATGTTGGCCGCCTTGACGGTACCGGGGGCGTCGTTCGCCGACAGCGGGGTGTTCTGGAAGTTCTCGTTCACCTGGAGGCCGTTAACCGAGCCCGTAACCTGGAGCACCTGCACGAGCAGCGCTGCCTGGATGAGTACCTTGACCGCGCGGAGCACCATGTTGGTTTGCACTTTTCGGTCTCAGATTCAGGCACCAGACTCTTGGGAAGTACCAAACTGGCTTGCGTCGAAGGCGGAAAAATGCCGAATGGGGCGGCAAATCTCATGCTGGCCGGCTAGATATTGATACATTTGCCAAGTTTTCATGTTTTGCTGCGCTACATACGAACGGCAAAGAGCCCGCGACGTAATGATGGGATAGCAAGCTGGGCTTTGGCCAGGATCCGATTCAGGATGGGGTCTGCTAGGTTTCGAGGTAACTTTTCAGATTCGGACCGACCGACTCCCTTTGCTCACGACCAGAAGGCCCGCTTTCCTTGTCAGTTGTTCCCGACCACCAGCTGGAGTGACGGCGTCCACGGCCGAAGCGAAAGCACCGACAGGCCGAATTCTGATCTTTAGGCTGGGGAACGCGCCAAAATTGGGGCCCAGTCTCGACCAAAATGCATGCACGACCTCTCATTGCAGCATGCACATCCCGAAAAAAGGGGACATGCCAACGTCGGACTTCCCGGGGTGGCGCACCTACGCTTGCATTTTTAGGAAATTTTACGAAAGATACCATATGGTGTGTACTGATCAATGGTTTTACGGAGTTGAGTACAGCACGCTATCGAAAGCGACCCAATTGGCGGTGCCTTGCAAGGTTCACTTGTCTTCTTTCGGTCCAGGTGTGATCGTCAATTGAATACGGCACGGGTGGTCGACAAACACACAAAGTCTGCTGATCTCCCCAATGTCCAGTCGTAGTTGCTGCTTCTTTTGCAATCGCGGTCCATGTACATGTACTTCACGAGCGGCGTGTCGTTTCATTTCATCCAGCAGCAACAACAATCCTCGAGCTTCCTTTTCATCACTCGATGAGACCGACACTGTGTTGGCAACACAAGAGCGCCGCTTGCATTGCACTGCGAGCTGACGACCCTGGCACACCTCTGCCTCCTTTGCTTTATGCTTCAGGTTGTGGCATGTCTCGAAAATTGCACTTGATGATTACCTTGCTTTCGCTGGCCTCTCATCTTGCCTATCTTCTCGTTCGTGCATCCATTCGCTCCGTAACCATACTGGACGCGGCTCTTCCATCAACTCCTTTTGCTTGCATGTCTAGGTCTCAGTGTACTGTACTGGCCGGCAGTTGTCAAGGTCACCAAAACTGCAATGCATCGCGTGGCAACACCATAAACAACTTTCGCGGCGTCGTTGGTCACTCTTTTACAAATAATGCCGGCAACAGCTTGTTACCACGACGAGAAATTTGTCACAATGCGCTGCTACAGTACCAGCAGCAAGTGCACGAGAGTCTCTGAGTTCCTTATTTTCCGAACTGCGCGACGGGAAAGAGTTCCTGCAACAAGATCCGTATTTGATATGAGACGGTTTCAAACGAAAAGATGCTTACGAACATAAGTACGAATCGCGATTTAACTGCATCAATCGAAAGAGGCGTGTCTTGTGCTTCGTTTAAGCTATCGAATGCTTTGAAACGTTAAGAAATCCCGGAGTGACATCGATCTAGAAAAATTATCTCCATTTTCGGACCCCTAAATTCACGATTGTATTTGGGGCGTGTGACCTCAATATTTTTTCAATTTTAACGTATTGTATATTATTGGAAATCTAGAGCTAAAAGAAAGCGAATCAGAGTGATTTTACGCTTTTTACGTGTGCTTTTCACTTTCGAAATTTTGATGTCCGGTTATTTCCGAAAATTGATTGGTCAACTTCAAACGCGATTATCTCGATAACTCCAAATGGCGCCTAAGCATCATTTCGTTTGAAACCGTCTCATACATATCATGTATGTTGGATACAAAGTGTAACCTGTTGTTCGAAGTTATCATGCTACAAGGCACCGCCACTTTAGTCAACGAGCGTGGGGGTGGAAGATAGTTGCATGGTGGCCAAACACTGGGGTCTTTTGTATGTGCTTCTCTGGCCCACTTAAGAAACAGCATTCAGCATTAAACCTCAATTTGATGTGAACCACATGTCACATATGATTGGGTATAATCAACTGTTTCCTCTTACTATTGGCCAAAATAAATGGGTCTGCGCATGTCGAGATAATCGCGTAGAAAAACCTCAAAACTGTAGCCCTTCTAACTCGTTTCCAACAGGCGCAACAACATCGACAACCGAACATAAGGGAAAAGCAGTCACTCGCGATTACGGTGATATTTTATTTTCTAATATCGCTAATTTTTGACGGCACCTCGCTAAAAAACCTAATGTTTCCTAAAACGGACTTCAGATAAAAGGTGTTTCTCTTTTCTTTCTGCTGCTAGATTTTTTTAAATCATAGCGTGAAACGGGGCAAATGCGCAGCTTTCGGTTGAGGTATTGCGAGTCACCAAACGATTTTTTTGTAAAAAGTTATTTCCTGAAAACCGATGTGTTGTTTCTTATGTGGGCCAGAGAAGTACACGTTGACGGGAGTTGACGATTTCGTTGACTCTGATTAATAAAATGTGGAACTCAGCTCACGAAGATGACTGACAAACATGCAGCCCGTATTCACTTGATTCACTCATCGAGTCTTGGGCAGATACAAAGTGCATGAAATCGGAGCATCACTTCGACCGCTTACATTGGGTTAGCAGCTCGCGCTGGGGTGACATGTATACGTACGGCGGTTTTGACTTATCGCTTGTGAGCTTTGTGGACACAAAGTGACTCATAATAATTCCTCATTGGAACCCAATTTGTGGTCAGCAAAAAGGATCCCCCCGCCGCTCATGATGGTGCTCAATTCCGTGCAAGATATGGACCGGAAGCCGCCCGTGACGATCGCGCTCATTGGTGTGTTGTGCAACAGTTAGAGAAAGACAGTTGCTGTGAGAAGAAGTGTGGCTAAACGATGGATTGGGGTGCAGCGGTCATGTATTTGCTGCATGTTCAAGCGACACGGACTCCGTCGTTGTTGCGTCCGTTTGCACTGTGAGTGCGTGAGTGTTGGTGACGTTGATGGGAAAATGGGGTTGTCCTCTACTAATTCCTTCTTGTCGTTAGATGTCCTGGTAAAGTGGTGGCAAACAAGGAAATTGCAGCGGTGTTCATCTCGCCGTTCATCCACTGGGAGGACTTGCATCTATACCAAAGCATGTGAGTGCAGAGGGTGGAAGGGTGTACCTAAGGACGACGGGCTGACGTGTTAACCTTAGATTATCCTTCCTTTGGAAAGGATACAAACTGGAAGGACGACTCGGTAGCATTGGCTTTTGCGTGCTGCTGGTCTACTTGATCGTCTTGACGCAAGCACTCATTGTGGCTGGGGCGCACGTGATATCATGGGTTGGTACACTTCTCGCTCGAATTGAAATAGTTGCAGTGAGGCATCTTACGTGGCACTTTGTTTGTTGTTGCTGTAGGGTGCAATGCAGGAATGCATTACAGGCTTTTCCGGTGTGCTTACCGCTATAAAGGTATGGGGCATGGCGGCGCAAAGAGGCATCCAGAGTATTCATGCTGACGGAAGTAATGTTGGTCAGGTGATTTTGAATGTCAATTCGCCAGCATTCACGAAACTTTACAGCTTCAAGGTGCCCACGAAATACGCAGCGTGGCTCGAGTTGGTTATCACCTACCTATTGGTCCCGAAGTTGCCGATACTGGCTCAAGCTGCCGGGCTCATTGCAGGTGCGTTACACTAATGCGTACTCTAGCAACTCGAATGCTCTACTCACGGTTGTACTGCCGTCTAATTACAGGTTACGTCTACGTCGTGACTCCGAACGCGCAGGGGATAGTCGACTGTGTGGCTCAGCAAGTGCAACAGCTCTTGATTCGAGCTGGAATCATGAAAAGACCCCTGCAGTGGTGGCAGCTCTGGCCGAGATTCAGAGACTCCATGCGCCGACGAAAGCAGCGCCGAAAAGAATGAAGAGAATAGGCCGAACGTGGTCTTCAAATTTCAACTCCGTACTAGAAAATTTAACCACAAACACCTTGAAAGGCTTCGATGGAAGTTCGTCTTCATCCGACAGGATTCCACTTAGATAAGGTGCTGGAAGCTCTCCGGCTGGATACTGTACTGCGCAGCTTCCCCTCCACCTCTGTTGCGCTCTTCCAGCATGAAGGTCACGACGCCGCAGTTGCTCATTTTTGCCTCCTTAGCCTCATGCTGCAGGTCGCTGGGGAAGAACTCGCGGCAGAATGCTCGGAACCAGAGCGAGTGGCCGTACACGACCACCACGTCCTTCTGCTGCTTGAAGACCCAGTGCGCGAACGCCAGCAGGCGGTCACGACCGCTGCCCAGCACCGCCTTGTTGCCGTGGCTCTCCGCCACATTGAACAGCTCGTCGTGGCGCTTCTCCCCGCGTAGACCTTGCACCAGCACCTCGTGCGGGTGAGCAGAGTGCGGCGCACTGAGCGCCAGCGTGTCCAAGTTGCGGCCGATCTCCTGCAGACACGACAGCACGTGGATCCTCTCGCCGGGCGTCTCCAGCCTCGAGGCCGACGCGATGCGCGCCGTGTCGATGGTGCGGCGCAGGTTGGACGCGACCACGACGCTGCCGGGCATGGGGCAACACAGATAGCGCAGCAGCGCGCTCTCCTCCGACTGAGGCGGGGAGTGGCGGTGCGGCTGCACGCGGTGCACGGGCTCCAGTGGGGCTGCTGCTGATGCCGCTTGGTTGCCGCCTGCCAGCGAGCAGAGCGGCGTCTCGCTCACGTGGTCGCGCAGACTCTGCGCCTGGAAGCGGCCGCGCTGACTCAGCGGCGAGTCCAGGAAGACCGAGTCGCCCGAGGGCAGCAGCAGCCACTCGCGAGCCACCGCGCGCAGGAGACTCACGAGCGCGCGCAGGTTGAGGCCGCGGTTGAAGACGACGTTCCACTCGGACTCGGCGTGGCGCACGAACAGGACGCGCATGCGCTTGGTCACGACGGCGGCATCCGAGGCGGAGGAGGAGAAGGAGGAGGGGGCGAGGAGGACGCTCGTCTCGGGGGCTGGCACACCTGAGGAAGAAGAGGACGACGCATGGGAGGACAGCCAGTGCTTGTCGCTGGAGAAGAGCAGGTGCAGCAACGCCAGAACGAAGAGCTGCAGCTTCCACACGACGTGGTCGGCGGCGTCCAGCAGCGCGGGCCACACGCCCAGAGACAGCAGGCGACGGCGCGCGCCGCGGTTCATCAGGGGTCGATCGTCGAAGTGATTTAGGACGGTCTTCAATGTATGGCAAGTGGCAACTGCGCACCCTTGATTAGCAACCTGCCTCAAAAAGAAACAAAAAATGTGCCTCAACCTATTTTCAAGGAGATTCTCAAACTTTATAACGACTTCAACTTCGGGTTGCAAACCAAGAGCAAGTCCTGATCGGCCTTGGAAGAAGTTGCCGACATCATACAAGGTGGTGGTGGTGGTGCCCTAGATAGATTTGGTGGTGTGCCCCTAGTAGATTTAAATAGATAAAATCCTATTCTCTAGAAATCCTTTCCGATAGTCAGTGAAAAGCTCTATGGACACTAGTGTTGTCCGGAGTAGCTATTTCTCTTCACGAAACACACATGGGGCAGGTCAGTACTTTACCAGTCTGTCTAAGTAGATTGCTTGGGTACTATTAATAGCCACTTCACGCAGCTGGGATAGAGAGGTGTTCCCCAGAGAAATGCCTGATTATCGAATTCGGATTTCGAGGCAACATATAAGCAAACAAAAACTCTATTGCTCATTCGAGTATCTTAATTTTAATTCGTTTTCCCGAGACGTTTTGTTACACTATGAGCTCCTAATAAGCTAAGCAGATGACTAAGTATGCAGCGTCACACGAATAGAAATCCAGGGCTACAGTACCTACCATCCAGGTGAATCATACTGTACTGTTGCATTGCTTCATCGTACAGTTGAGATAGCGTCGCATGACTCAGGGGGCCTGACTCAGGGCAGACAAACTGGATCACTCTGTTCGCACTGTACATGTACGCACGAGTCAGACTACTCTGATTACTCTCAAGCTTGGCCATTCCTTCGCAAGTGCAGCGTTTTGCCGTCCATTCATCGGCAAGCGATCACTTTCTACACCTTTGTGCGGCCTATTTCGTACCAACGTGCAATCAAACCCGAAAGTCGCAAAATTCATATTGCAATTTTTTTAGTTAGCAACTTCAATTACGCATTCAAAGATGGAATTACGGCAATCAAAGTTGGACCAGAGGTCCAAGATCTCCATGGCTACGTAAGCTGGCGTGCTGTGCTCGCGCCAAAAGCAAGGGCGCGCGGTTTGGCGCGCACTATAGCCGACGCTGACCGAGGGGAGCTCACTTCTCAATTTGCCTTCTTCTTCTTTGCAGATGTCCCTCTAAGGCCGCGTTACTCGCCACACCGTCCTCGAGAAGCAGCGTCCTAAAATCCCGCATTAAGCGAGACTTGGCTCTGGGTCACCACGCAATCTACGATCGCTCGCGTGAGCCAGACAGGGCTGCCGGATATGGTATTTTTATTTATTAGCGCAGATAGAGTCTCATAAAAATCGCAAGGATCTTGTCATTTGTATCTGCATAAATTATGTAATGTATTCGAGCAATAAATAAATAATGTGGTGCAACTTCAACGGGTATTAGACGTACTGTTCCTCGCACTAATTGACGCGATCGACTCTCGAAACGTCCCAGAAGTCAGCATTCTTGCGCAGAAACAAAGTTGTTTCCAGCGTAGCGGGCTGGAGACTGTTGCGTTCTTGAGCAAACCTGGTACGCGCCACGCTGAAAAACCGCTCGACCTTGTTCGAGGTCGGCGGGATGCTGGAGATGAGGTCGTAGCGGAGCTTTCGAGCCTCGAGCCGTTGACGCTTCTCGAGACGCTGGACAAACGAACCCTCTGGATCCTCGCCGCCGTCTTCCGCACCGTTCGTGAGATAGTATCATAAATTATGAGTGTGGAATAGTAATATGGTATCATAAATAATGGTACGGTCTAAGCCGCCGCTCATAAATTATGCAATAATATTTATGGCAATTACTTGAGCGTCAAATTATTTTTCGGCTGCCCTGGAGCCAGACAGCAACGGTGAGATCCTCTCCTGTTTCGGAACGCCAGATGCACATCCTGGAGCGCGCCGCGACCGCTAACATGAACGTGATGTCCCCAGCGCTGGTGGCCAGCATGGAGCTGTACTGTCGCGACTTCGTCACCAAGGCGGCGAACAACGAGGACATGGTGTACGGCATGTAACAGGGCTCGTCGGACCAGTACTGTAGTAGTAGCCTACTGTACGAATTTGATTGCCGTAATTCCATCTTTGAATGCGTCATTGAAGTTGCTAACTAGAAATTTGCAATATGAATTTTGCGACTTTCGGATTTGATTGCACGTTGGTACGAAGTAGGCCGCACAAAGGTGTACAGTAATGTGTGTGAATACCGGACGACTGATATATATGAGGTCTCCAAGAGTATAAGTTGAATCCGATTGGTTAAGAAAAAGGAATGTATTGATATGATTTAGTTCGTCTAGAAATTGATGGCGGCCTTGTTAATAAGGCCCGAGTGATACCAGCAATGCTGTATGGTATCAGCAGTAACCTTCGATCAGGCGTCCTCACACCACATCAAAGCGGTAAGAATGTCAACCTTACAAGGCTCATCTACTCCTTCTCCTATTTGGTCGAGCGCATACAACATTTTCTCTGATAATACATACCTCTTGATACAGTGGATGATACCTTGGTTGATAGTTTGAGGCTTTGATCGCAAATGAGGAAGTGAACGCTTTTAAAGGAAATCAAAGTGGCGAAAGCGCGCCAATATTCAAATTACCGCTGAATACGACATCACGAGATTAATGGATTTTTAGCTCAGTACCTTTGCTCAGTACCTTTGCTCATCACCATCTCGTCACATCGTAAGCCCATAATTATAAATTATACAAGGGTATTAGCTGTAGACCCGTCCGGTATTCACGCACATTACTGTAGTTTCGTTGTGGCAGCAAGGGGTGGTAAATTTCCACTGGCACGCAAAGCCCATGCTACGGTAGGTACACTCCACGACAAAAAGATATGGACACCACCAAAAATGGCTGTAACTTCGTCAATTTTTATCGTTTTAAGGTGCGGTTTGGACTAGAGTTGCAGAACACGCTGATAAAGATCTGCACGTTGCTAACACGCGCGCTTTTGCGCTTCTTCAGGTAGCTCACATACAAATCACTGGTTCTGCCCAGGTGACAAAACTTATGGACAGCTAATCCCCATACAAAATCCTATATTAACCAAAACCCCTTACAAATGATACGACTTGGACTTTGTATGGGGCGACAAAGGAACCAGCCTCACGGCGATACTCGCGACGTTAGACAAAGATCTGATGGCATTATCGTGTACTAGAAGGTGTGTTTAGTAACCTGTAATAAATACATCGACCATCGCACAAAACTGAGCAAGTAGTAAGCGACTGAAATTTCGAGTGGTGGCTACCATGTATTATCTGATTATTTGCGAGGCACGTTCAGTTGCATCCTAGTTAGTGCCAATCGTAGCTCTGTATGCTGCTATCTCTTGGATATACGATTGTCTTCTCCATTCTAAACTGTTGGTCGATGATATATGGCTCAGTACTAAGGTAGAGTGGAGAAATCATGGGTTCCTTTGTCGCCCCATACAAAGTCCAAGTCGTATCATTTGTAAGGGGGTTTGGTTAATATAGGATTTTGTATGGGGATTAGCTGTCCATAAGTTTTGTCACCTGGGCAGAACCAGTGATTTGTATGTGAGCTACCTGAAGAAGCGCAAAAGCGCGCGTGTTAGAGCATGTTCGCTACGCGGCTGGAGATGGATATCTGCAGGGAGTTCGTGCATCTCCATCTCCAGCTCGTTCACTACAACAGAGCGCATCTAGGTAAAATTAGCCAATCACAGTGCGACTCGCTCTCCTTCTCCTTACTTTGCTGTTCTTCGTCGGCCGGGAACACTGTGCCCGAGACACCGGACGCGTGGCAAGATGGACCAAGCTGCCGATGACGCTCCGAGAGCTGCGCCTCCGTTCCCGTCAGCCAGTGGCGACCTCGTGCTGGCTGCTGTCAGTTTGGACATACCTGCCTCTGATGTTGCTCTTGCCCAGACTGTGTATGCGACACCGGATGCCCGCACTTCCTCGCTGGCGCTGCCGCATTCAGAGACACCCAGCCAGCTTTTTGCGCTCGGAGTTGTAGCTGCGTCAGCCCGCAACCAAGACTCACATCGCCGCGTTGGGAATCAGAAGAAGAAGGCCAATACTGGTGAAACGTCTATCGCTACGAAGCAACCCTCCTTTGCGTGGACGACTGCAGCAGCTGATGCCCTGCTGCGGGCTCGTTTTGACACGGCTGCAACTTTCTTCTCAAAGCTATGCTGCCGTACTTTGGCAGCAGCAAACAGAACACCTTGATCTCGTAGTAAACCAGCAATACGTAGGAAAGATGGCTTGGTGCAGCGAAGATTGTCTTCAAACCAACTTGCATACGCGGCTGACTGTAGCATGGGCTCAAAGTGCAGTGAGGTCACGGTACGAATCTGTTCCTTAGGGCCTTGCGGCGCATCGTCGTATTCTCCTGATAGGAGGACTGCAACCTGTGCGACAGCTGAGCATGTAGCAACCAGTACAGCTTCCTCTTCGTTCATTGTGTGTGCGGCTGAACTGCCTCAATCTCCAGCTACTTTCTCCTTCTCCAGCTCCCAGAGCTGGAGAAGGAGACGGGGTAATTCTCCAGTGGTCACGTTGTGAACTAAACTATTTTGACCAATCAAAAGACAAGAAATAGAGTTGATGAGAGGCCATCTCCATCTCCAGCTACGTTGCGAACAGGCTCTTAGAGCGTGCGAACAGGCTCTTAGAGCGTGTTCGCAAGGTAGCTGGAGATGGAGACGAAAACCAAAAGTGTGACCGGATTGGTCAAAAGTAGGTAGCACACAACAAGACAACTAGAGATGGCACTGTGAATTCGTCTCCAGCTCTTTGAGGTGGAGAGGGGCGGATCTACCTAGAGATTTACAGGGCCAGGCACAACATGGGAGACGAAGATGCAATTGTCCTCGCTGCGTGCTCCGCCGTGGCACAGGCTGTGGCTTTGTATGCAGACAGTTGCGAACCAGGACCTCCTGCTGGCAAGAAGAACCGTTTTACCGTCACCACTCTGCGCTTCGAGTCGATGCTTCAATCATCAGCCTATTCAAGCTGGTTCGAGACCAATCTGCGCTGTACGAGATCCACCTTCTTCCGTATAGCTAGCTTTCTACAAGAGCATGGGGTCGCTTTTGCACAAGCTAAGGTCAAGAAACATTCCTACGAAAAGAAGGTGGCAGCGGCGCTGTATTTCCTGGGCTCAGCGGGTGGATATCGCGAGGTGGGAGCTGCAATGGGCATGGCTAGAAGCTCTGGCGTAGCAGACATCGCCACTGATACTTGAGCTAGCGGAACAAATGTGGACGCAGTCTCGGCGCCTTCTAGCAGCAGACCTTCATCACCGGCAGATGGTGTCAGCGAGACGAGGGGCTCGGACGCTGGCGTTTCGTCATGACGGTCGGGGGGCGCAGGAACCGAAGAGCCTTGAGCAGCGGCATGTGCCGCACGCATGGCCGCACTGGTGAGGCGAGTCGGCATTTTCTCAAGTGGGGAGGAGAGCCATCCCATATTTGTCCTGTGATTGGCTTAAAAATTGTCTGGAGATGGATACATAGCGAACGAGCTGTAGGTGGAGATCAAGCACCATCTCCATCTCTAGTACAACGCGAACAGGCTCTTAGCAACGTGCAGATCTTTATCAGCGTGTTCTGCAACTCTAGTCCAAACCGCACCTTAAAACGATAAAAATTGACGAAGTTACAGCCACTTTTGGTGGTGTCCATATCTTTTTGTCGTGGAGTGTATGTGTCCGGCTTCTTCAAGTATTATTACGTGTTGGCAGACAATGTGACTATTATTAATCTAGCGTCCATTTTGGCTTGTCACGGATCGGACGCCCAGCTTCATGCACTTGCCAAGGGTATCTGCTTTTTGCGGCATTTTCGTGGAGCGTCTGCTTCCAAAGCACACTTCGTGGTACTCGTAATCTCGAGCCCCACGGCGAGGCATCGTGACCAGCCGTCCTCCCGCGTCTTACTCATTCTGCAATTCGCCTTCCAGCCACGACAGTGCCAGGGATCGACCATGCGTCTATCAACTACCCTCTCGGTAGCGTCAGCGCTCACGCTTCTCACGAGCAGCAGCGCGCTCTCTGCGCTTGCGGACGCCAGGCCACGAAAGTGTTCACGATCGCGTCTCCAGACCTCGAATATTTGATGTGAGCCGCAACGTCGGCGATCAGAAGAGCAGCCTCGAAAGCGTGGACAAAGAGGACGAAGAGAGGTGGGCCGGTTAACACCTTTTCAGCGCCGAGAAACTCAAGAATGCGTGCAAGACCCCAAGTACTCTAAAACGCTGAGGATACAATATTGAACCAGCCAAAGCCTCCACATGCAACGACAAGAGGCTCAACGGTGACTACCACAAATACGCTGCGTGACTCGATAGGCACTTCTCTCGCCTAGAAGATACGCTATGTACGGGTGGAAACAACTTGTTCGCCGAAGCGAAAAAGATCAAGAAGGCCATGTCAGACACCAACTCTAATACACAAAGTGGGAGACTCACAAACACTCATCGGGAGATGTACTCAAAAAAAGTGAAGGCACCGAGATCCCAGGAGAACGACGGCGACGTCGGCAAGCTGTACAATATTGCGTCTCTTGGCTCAACGCCCAGCACCCAAGGGGCCAGGCAAAAGATCTGGCGAACACGGACGTGTTGTTTGAGAAGTCGGTGTTTTCGAAGGCGAGGGGTAACGTCGAATATACTGAGATGGTGTTCCGGACGTCGCAAGCGGATACTAACAGGCTGGTTTGGTTGCTGCTACTGTACCACGCCGCGAGGGGAAAACATGTTAAAGCGTCGTACTCCCCTTTTGCTATGTGCTACTTCTGTACAAGCCTTCACTACATGTACTCAGGTCAAATTGGTACAACGAACCCGTCTAATGCGCACTGTTGCCGATACACTCACGGCGTGGCCTGGCGCAACTCACAGTCTTAATTAACTGAGCACGATAACGTTGAGGCCTTTTGGCCTTTTTAAACATCATCATCGAACAGTGGTTCGCAGGTATTGTGTCCGCATTACGTATACAAGAAGACACCGAGACGCCTCATTTCGCTGGTACTGGGTCGGCCTGGGTGAAGACTATGCAGCAAAGAAACTTTGAATACAACTCAAGCCAGGCAGGCTTTTTGATGCCGAGGCGGGCTTACGTAGGTTTGATAAGGCTCACTTAGCCCCAAACTACAAAATCTTTCCTGATATTTCTTGGATAAGTTGCTCGCTCGTGAAAAAAAGCATGTCTTAGTAGTTTGGATATTTGCCGAGGATTAATAACAACTACAGTACACCATGCTGGTACCATGGTATGGTTACGTGAGACAAGGATATGTGGCATCTGCGCAAAAATGAGAGTTTGTGCTGCATCATTTCAAACACCTGCACAGGTTGTCATTAATGACGTGGTGACTTCAACCCTGAAGCACTGTGCTTCGCATATTGAACATGACATCCAAGGAAGCAAATTTTACATGTACGCTATAGCCATAGTGCAATGATACTATTGTGCACTATAGGCTCTAGTGTATATGTAGATGCACTGATCACTGATGGTCGTTGCACATTTCAACACTACACAAGCAAGAAAGCCACAGGGTGATTACAAAATCGATATTTCAGCAGACGACACAAGGCGTCTGTACTGCGCGTCATCATTGCTGGCGCGCTATTACGCAGTTGCAGAGCCGTCGAAAGCGGCTACACTACAACATGCACCGCCCGCTACATCAAGGCGCCGACCGCACACACGGTACCACGCGATAAAACAGCGCCTGCAGGAACGATGGAGCCGGCAACACGCGTACTGAAACGGAAGGAGTACATCGCAGAATCCACTCACTTCAGATTTCTCATTCTACCTGGCATTTTGCGCTAAATAACAGAGCGCCACCATCATTAGTCAGCGACATCACCTTGTCGACACTTACGATGGTGCCACCACGCGGTAACGCGGGGGATCAACACAAGCAAAAGCTGGCCCCGGTTGAGGTTTCAGTTGACCAAGACGACGAACAAATCAGGGCGGCGCTATTCTCGTGGGTCAATAGAGTGCGTCTGGAGCAGCAGGAGACTGGACTTGAAGGTCCTCCACTTCTGTCGGCACAATCGTCACGGGCTCCGAAAAAGAAAATTACCATCCAGGTTGCCTCACCTCGGCGCATACGCACCTCAAGGTATCTCTGCGAGGGTGACCGGAAAGAAATTATCGCGCGGGTTGGCAGTGGCGAGCAGCAATCTTCACTCCCGAAGGAGTTCGGCGTCAGTCGTGCTGCGATTTGCAATCTCTACAAGAACCGACACCCGCGGAGTCCGAGAGCCGGGCGCTAGGCACCCGAAAAAGTCGCACAAGATGAACCTTCGCTCACAACGAACACCGACGACGTCGTCAACGACCCAAGCCAGCGTCGTCGTATCAGCCAGAAGACCAACTGCCAAGTCGAGACGGTTAAGCAATGCCTCGGAAAGTTTGTACGAAGTACGAATGGGATCCCCCGTCGACTATTCGGCAGATAACGATTCAAGGGAAGACGAAAGCATAGTCTACCAGACTACCGTGCCTAGTCAAGATCCGGCTGGGAATTACCACCTTCAACAGCAGGACGAAGCGCGAAAACCCCCGCAACACCAATATCCCTGGGGGAGTGTGGAAGAATCCCAGTGTTTGCGTGTCCACGAGGTCTCCGCAAACTTGATCCCGTGTCGAAATCTGGTTGCGGCACTCCGAGATGAGAGCATCGGTCCGGCCGCGTTCCAGCAGCGAGCCACGCGTTTGCTGCGTGTTTTGGCTAAAGAATCATTCGCTCAGTTGCCGGTCGAGGAGAAAGTGGTGATGAATCGACGTGGAGATGTGTGCCACGTGAAGAAGATGATGTAAGGGGAGGATATCTGCGTGGTCTCCATGGAAGGCAGGGGCAAACTGTTGCTTCAAGCGTTCTCGGAGATCAGCCCAGCGTCGCCTGTTGGAATTGTTGCCAAACCACTGGCGACTCGTGGAATGGCATGATATCCTCACATCCAAGCACATCTATCTGCCAAGTATTCGTCCACACCAAGTTGTTTTATTGCTGGATATTGAATGCGCTACTGGACACGAAGCTTGCGGGGTGTTGCAGCACCTGGTGTACGACCGACAAATAGCCGCAAAGAGTATTTATTTCGTGACCGTCATCAGCTCTTTTGAAGGTCTTCAGCATGTGTCGAAGCGCTTCCCAGGAAGGTCCTCGGTTTTACTGATGTGATTTCGACTCAGACCTAATTGTTCCGCTGCTTTACAGACGTCATAATGATCACGGCACAATCAGACACCGTATTGGATCACGACCAGCGCATCCGGCCTGGAATTGGCAACTTCATGGAGCGCTACTGGAACATCCAGTCCTGATGCCTCTAAACTACCGCCGGTTGTAGCAACTAAGCGAAGGATTTCAATAGTAACATACTACTGACATCTTTTGGCTATGCGAATGTATTCGGTGGTCTTCCTAGCTGCCGAATCGAGCCAAACGCCGACGACGAAGTTCGCTTGGGCTGATGCGCTCAGGTAAAGGTTGTTCACGTTGTGGAGCTGCGATGTCCTGGGCTCGTTGGTACTCTTCCTCTTGTAGGCGACGGGCTAGCTGCTCGTCCGTTTCAAAGCGTTGGGCTGGCATGCTCGTCGAGCTACGGGAAGAATGAGCTGGTGCGGCGCATCGTGTGTCATGCTCCGATCGGCTGGAGATTGGCCCGGCCAGAGAACGCATCCATCGACTGACCACGCGAGCACCAGAAGTCATAGCTGACTGCATCGATGGTGAATCCACGAAGATATAACCTATCGACCACGTTACGTATCATTTTGTCAGTCAGATCATACGCTCAGCTTGACTTTCTTTGCGTGCACATACCTGCTAGAATACCGCACATGTGCCCCATGAAAGAGCTTCGTGGCACCAGGAAGTGGATCACCACCAATTCTAGCCACGCCGTGTATTTTGTGGGCACTTGAAAGCCGTATACACTTGAGAAGAACGCGGGTGAGTTGTGGTTCAAAAGCACCTACCAAGTCAACACGATGAACAGGTTGTTGGTACACACGAGCAACAACACCTACGGATTCACGGCATCAAACATTTACCTTTAATGCAAACAACACGCCCGAGAATCCAACGCTGCACTGATGCAGTGGTGCCTACAAAAAAACAAAATAAAAGTTTACTCGGTCAGTCTGCTCACAACAAGAAAGCAACCAACTGCGACGCACCGGCATCTGGAACCCCGTGGCGAGAACAAGAGCCACCACCACCACAAGGACATGGCAGAGCACCAGCAAGTACCCCACCGTAAGCAGGAACCGCACACTCCCCAACTTGTACTCGAGATTGTATCCTTTCCACAAGAACGAGATCCTGCACAACACAAAAAGACACCGTCGTCAGCGACCTCGACGAATTAAGTAAAAACATTGCAAATCTCTGCGGGGTAGGAACTAACATGTTGTGGTACAAGTGCCAGTCGTCCACATGAATAAGACCCGACGCAACGATCCGCTCCCAGTCCCAATTGCTCAGTACTCGGTCCGGGCAGCTACACAACCGAGCAATAGCGTTAAACTGGCACTATTTTATTCAGCTCATTGTAAATGTTGAGGTTCACTTACAGCGAGTATGGGGCGAAGAGCTGTGGCGTCTGGTTCTTCTGGAAGTGAATACCATACATGAGAGCTGTCGAAGAATGCGCCCGGAGTGTTATGTTAATATAGAACTGGTCGTGTGTCTTCTGTAGTACGATAGGGTACCCATGAGGCCGAGCGTGACAGGCGGCTTGCGCTCGAGCTGCTGGACCTGCCGCACGAGCATCAGCATCAGAGTGAGGCCCTGCCCGTTGCGCCCGACGTTGGGCGCCATGCCGCGCCCGCGGCGCCCGACGCCGGGACCGAACATCTGTCTGAAAATACGACAGTTGTAATGATTCCAAAACTAAAGAGCTACAAATTTAGGAATTACAGAAATGTAGACGAGCTTCAACATCGTGTTTGATGATGAGTCTGACTGACACATGCGTGTTGCTTCAGACTCAACGGGTTGGTCGTGCCTTCGCAGTCGTATTCCCAGCGGTGTGCTTCACTAGCGCGGGCGGTGCTCAGACTAATCTGGTGTTAGATGTGGGAGGTTTAGTCCGCTCCCATTATTGTATAGAGTTCCGGCAAATGGGCTCTCTGCGTCGAGTTGACAAACCAACCTATAAGTAGTTACTCTGTGAAGACAGCTTAACTTGCCATGAGGATCAAGTAGAGCTCAAATCGACACGAGTTACAGGAGCATGAGTCCCGCTGAACATCCGAGTCCACTATCATCCAACGAGCCGTAGGCAACTGGCAAGCAGCGGAAGGGCTGGTTTCAGGAACTCCAACGACTTCAATCATGCATGGAACTACTGTAGCAAGTGCAGACCCTTCTAGAACGTCCTCGCGGACTAAACGCGCCATCTGGTATTCTGATTAGTCCCGTCCCAAACAAGATCTAAAAACAGAGTTGACGGCACGCGTGTTGACGGTACAGATCCGACCACGCCCTTCAAAGTCTCATTTCAGAAGAAGAACTGTAACCCAGCGGAGACCATCTCTCCGACCCCCATGCCGCCGTCCTACGCGGCCCTACTTCCTGTGCCGGAGGAGCGTCTCCCGGCCTACGCCGTGGCCGCGGCCGTGCTGTACCTGTCGCTGCGGCCGCTCCTGAACGTGGACCGCCTGCTCGCCAAGCTCTGGCCGTCGCTGCTGCTGCTCTTCGCCTACTACCGCTACCGCGTGGCGCTGTCCGCCTCCTCCTTCTCGGAGGCCCCCACGAGTCTGGCGCTGCAGCTCTGGACGGCGGCGCAGCAGCGCGCGCCCGTGCTCGAGGCGGTCTGGAGCGACACGCTGCTGCTCGCGCTGGCGGGCGCCGCCGTCGCCTTCATCGCGCAGAGCGCGCGCCGGCTGCGCTTCGTGTCGCGCAAGAACCTGCTCAACGTGGTGGGCGGCGCCGTGGTGGACGCGCTCAAGCAGCTGCCCGTGGTGTCCGCCAAGATGGCGGACGAGATGAAGAAGATCGAGAGCGAGGTGGAGCACTCGCTCAAGGGCAACGACCCGCTGGCCGCCAAGATGGACAAGCTGCGCGCGCTGCCGGAGAAGGGCATGGACGACGAGAAGCTGCTGAGCCTCATGGAGGACCTGGCCGGCAACAGCGACGACAAGTGGAAGGACGGACTAGTCTCTGGAGCCGTCTACCACGGCGAGAAGGAGCACCTGGACGTGCTGAACAAGGCCTACGCGCTGTTCGCAGTGACCAACCCGCTGCACGCCGACCTGTGGCCGGCGGTGAACAAGTTCGAGGCCGAGGTGATTGCCATGACCGCCGGACTCATGAATGGAGGCCACGAAGAGGTCTGCGGCACCCTCAGTTCCGGCGGTACCGAGAGTATCTTCCTTGCAACCAAGACGCACCGCGAGTACTACCGCCACAAACACAACATCACCAAGCCCGAGATCATCGCGTGCGTTACGGCGCATGCGGCTATCGACAAGGCGTGCGAGATCTTGGGTATCAAGCTCATCAAGGTGCCGATGGACCCCAAGACGCTCAAGGTGGATCTGAATGCCGTGCGCTGGAGCATCTCGGCCAATACGATCATGCTGTATAGCAGCGCGCCCAACTTCCCGCACGGTATGATTGACGATATCGAGGCGCTATCGAAGCTCGCGGTGCAGAACGACGTCGGACTTCACGTGGACTGCTGCCTGGGAGGATTCGTGCTGCCCTTTGCACGCAAGCTGCGCTCAGACATCCCCGTGTTTGACTTTGCGCTACCTGGTGTCACCAGTATGTCGTGTGATACGCACAAGTACGGCTACGGCTCCAAGGGCACGTCCGTGGTGCTGTACAAGTACGCGGACATCCGACGCTTCCAGTACTTTTCGTACCCGGACTGGACCGGTGGTCTCTACGCGACGCCTACTCTTGCAGGCAGCCGTCCTGGAGCGCTGAGCGCTGCAGCGTGGGCTTCAATGGTGCGTTTGGGGTACGAAGGATACATCGAGAAGACGAAGGGCATTTTGGAGACTGTGGACGAGATCAAGGCCGGCATCGAGCGCATCGACGGTATCCACCTTTTGGGAGACCCGAAGGCCATGGTCGTGAGCTTTGCTGGCGACAAGGGCGTGAATGCTCTCAAGGTTAGCGACGCGATGGCGAAGCATGGCTGGAGCCTCAGCCCCCTGCAGCACCCCACGTCTGTGCACTTGTGTGTGACTGTGCGCCACATTGGCAAGGCGAAGAAGTTCCTGAGTGCACTGGAGGAAGCTGTGAACGAAGTGAAACAAGACCCCAACCCATCCCCGGAAGGTGGCAGCGCCATCTACGGCATGGCCTCCAGTTTGCCGGCTGGGCCAGTGGACGACCTGCTGCGCATCTACACGGACATCACCCTGAAGGTGTAAGCGAGCAGAACTTTGAAATGTTGAGCTGCAAGGTGACTCGTCAAGAACTGATGCAGCACTGTATACGTTAAATATCAAGATCACAGGACTCTTGAGCTTTTTCTGGGTTGCTTTGGTCTCCTATCGGTAGCTCTTAGGTCATATCCACTGCAATTTTGTTGAGTTGCTGCCCAGGAAAGTGTGGTTTGCGCAGCTTGCGGGGGCCTTTGGGCTTGTCCTTCTTCTTCGCATGAAGAATGTGCACTTCTTGAAGCTTCTTGAGTTGCCCAAGTTGAGCAGCCAACGACTTCATGCAGATTCCTTTGCGCGGAGTCAAGTTCATCCACAAACCCTGCGTTGTAATCGAACTCAAGAGCGAATCAGTGGCGGTAAGTGGGCCTGCCTTGCCTAGCAGACTACACCCTATTGAGAAGGTCTTGTCGTGCGGTTCTTCGCCTTGAAACTCGTACAGGAATGCGTGTTCAAGCTCGTCCACAGTATTCCAACGCGAGGATATCCCGCGTGAACGGTGCTGGCCAGAATATCGCGTTACCTGGTGCCAAGGGGATGTCGAGAGCACCCTGACGGGCGTATGATACCTCCCATTTGCTCACAACGGGTCCGTCAGTGTTGTTACCTCCGTCCGTTTTCTTGGGTATTGCGCGCTCCTGCCGTGTCGCTGGGTAAGCTCGCGTTAAGACATACCTCACCGTCAAATATACATCTCTGGATCTCGGCTGCTTGCTGGAATTCGATAGCATTTGTCACCTACGCCCACGAGGTTCGCATTGCGGTCGAACAGCATCACTGAGGGCCACGGTGACCGGTCTTCCTCGTCAAAGGCTGTGGTACCTTTGATTGCCGTGCTCTCTTCAGTTTGGTGCTGACTTGACTCGCGCGGACGTGTTTCAATCTCTGCACTTCTCGAACTTGATCGCTTGCTTATAGGTAATGTTGCTGGCGTTGGGGGAACTCGAGAAATTCCAACGGATTTGAACAAGTTTTCCGTCAGAAGCTGCTCATGTTGAGCATGCGCGGCGAGGAAGTCCCAGTAGCACAGCGGTGTCTTGAGAACGCACAGGTCGCAGAAGAAATGCGAATCCAGTCTTCCTGATTCTGCTATAATGGCAGCAATAGCCTCTTCTGAAAGTCTTGCCCAGCGGCTGCATTTGAGGTGGAACATTTGACCGCAACCATCTCGCGAACACAGCAGCGAAAGCTGTCGTCTAGACGATCTTCGTGACACTCGGATGATCTTTGCGCAGATTGCGCAAGTTCGTGAGGCCAATATTCCACTCTCGTCATAATGGGCAATACTGGTGCCTACTTGTGGCGCCGAAGACAACCCTTGCGCGCGATTTCTCGTTGCTACAGCAGAGGCTGGGGGCGTTTTGGGACGAAATTGGTCCGCTAGAGAGCGAACCCGTCCAGTATAGTTCTCAATACTCAGCACTACACTGAGCTGTGTAGATATGGAAGCTGCGATCAGCACATTAAGGTTTTCCCCATCAAACTCGAGAAGTGCCGGCATACCGCGCTCTCCTGTCGGGGTTAGATAGAGCTGGAACGGCTCTAGCGGCGCGACTAGCAGATTGCTAAGCTTACGAGTCAGTTGGTCTTTTAAAATCCCGTAGATAGTCTGTCCTGCGAGACACAGGCAAACCTATCACGATTCTCCTGGTTATTCACAGGAAAGCTTAAACACGCACCTCTGGCTTCAGTAATAACGCAGGAGCTTTGCATACATTCCAAAGTGTTGCCGCCGCATAGAGCGCAACATCCGTGGCGGCACCGTCCGCTTGCTTTACATCAAGTAACCTTAGCAGAACTGGGATACCGGCACTGATTCTGCGTTGAAAATGCTAGCAATGCTGCCGCACTGACTCTCATCAGCTCATTGTCGCCACTCGCGTGGGTATTCCGCAGCAGCATTGAGAGCGGACATTGATGCCGGTGCGAAACACAATTCCATCTACGACATAAAAAACATGAGGAGAACTTCACAGATATGACACGGTGTTGCAACTAACCTGTCACAGGAGCTTGCACTTAGTCGACCTCGTTCCGAATGTGCCAGGTTCCCTAGAATCCTTGTTATTACCACAAAGTGTTAGGCAACATCAGCAATTATGCCCTCGAGTTATGAGTTCCGTACCCAGCACAGATACGCTGTGTCACACCTTCTACAAGCCCGAGCCCGTCTACTTCAAAAGTGGGCTCCCCCTAAAACGAGAGCCAAAAGTCGCACAAAATGGGCTCCCTTTTGGTAAGTACGAGATCAAGGAGCCCTCCTCCAGGGCTCCCCAAATTTAGCTTCAAATCTATGACGGGCTCTTCATAGTAATATCTGATTGGCCAATTTTACCTAGACTTAAGGCGAGCAACTTCGCGTAATCGATGCGCCACGCTAGAAGATCGGGCTCAAAGATCGCCACACTAGAAGATCTCGCGCCGCTCATATGTGTACAGCCGCTCCGAGGCCACCCCAGCGTCGCCGATAGTCCTTCCTTCCCCTCAAGGAGAAGCCCTCTTTCCTATGCCTTTTCAGGTTAGAACCTGGAGATACTTCAATGACGGCCAATCATCAGCGAGATATTTCACACAGGTGAGGGAGCCCTTAACGAGGGCTCACAGTTCTGGAGGGCTCCTTTCACTTAACTTATTGAACTCAAGAGCCCAGGAGCCCGAGCTCGCGACTTTTTGGGTTCACCCAAGAGCCCAGGAGCCCGGCTCTCCCCAGGGCTCGTAGAAGGTGTGCGCTGTGTCACCAAGCGTGCAGCCGCTTGTGCGATTTGTGTGACCCGCCGAACTCCTTGAACTTGAACTAATTGGTCTCGCAGGTAGGCGTCGCGTGCCATCATCAACAGTCAACGCGTGTCCATTTCCACGTCCGCCGCATGTTTCTCGTCGCCTTCATTGCGTCGCAGCAGCGCCACCAACTCATTGAACGTATCCTCAGTTCCTTCTCTTCTAGTCGCCATGGTCTGGTGGTTCAGTAGAAATTGCGTCCCGTCACGGAGACGCCGAACAAAAAAACTTACTTAAAAACAGACACATACTTGTGCGTGAATAGATTGCACTCTTGACATTGGTTTCAGAGAGCAATGATCTACTTCCCACCACCGGCTAGTTTCCGAGTAACCCAACCAGCAATGCGGCTACTGGTTTTCATGAATAAAACTGGGGCGCGCTTCGCGTGCGGGTCTCTAAGCGGAGGCAAACGCACCGAACAGTTTTGTAACGCTGTACTACAGCTACTACAACTACTATTTCACTACTGTTAATGATGTCATAGTAATGTTGTCATTGATATTGCTTGTTCGTATCTGCTGCTATCGCTACTGCGACGGTTTATTATCTGCTGCCACTACCGCTACCGTTGTTATTTACGCTACAACTACGATCTCAGCATTGATAATGGCACTGTAATGATATTGCTCCTGCTTTCTTTTCATGCCTGAGAAAGACTGCCAAAATCTACTCCATACTGCTTGACTTGCTGCATAATATCACGAGGCATTTCATGGCTTGCTCAAACTAAATTTATAAGTAGATGCCATCTGAGTATCGCCGCCCACCGTGGTGAAAACGACGCGATCCAAACATTATCGATGATCTTATCGTCCTCTAGACCCTTGTAAATCACTCTCCTCTTTCCCAAATAATGTGTGTGACTTGTATTGCTGCGTAAGTAGTATCAATATGACGTATTGTGTCTTTCACGTATTTTGGCGGGTGAACTATTAATTCAGGCGGAATTAGAGTCATAAAAGGGTGATCAATGCTTATTTAGTGCTAATTCTGCCTAAGATTGTGGGCGCTTCCCCTAACATCCGCGATCAGCATTTGAGAGCTAATCGACGGAGATACGAGCAGAATGGCATGGATTGGCGGATAGGAAACCGCCAATCGCTCTGTTTCCGCCTAACGAAGGCTGGATTAGCTTATCCCGCCTTGAGTCGGCCTCACCATCGCCGTTCCTAATTCGGCCACGGAGGGACGACCCGGAATTAACATGGGCATTAGCTAACTCGGGGCATAATTAAGGTCGATAACGGATTAGAGTTATGCCAGAATTATCACGGCAGAATAAGTGAAAGGCACAATAATTCTTATTCGGTATATTGCTATTGAAATTGTTCGCCTGCGTCACGATCACTGCCAGCTACCACTGCAACTGCCCCACTGTCAATGCCACCGCTATTGCAACCGCTATTAGTTACTGACTTTGAAACTGATATTGTTATCGCTATTTCTGTTACTATCTTTTTTTTTTGCTCGCCCCACGATCAGGAAGAAAAACTGTCAAGGTCTACAGTACTCCATGGTGCGTGAGTTGCTGCAACCCAGTATAATGTCATCCAACGAGACTTCTTCGCGAGTTTGGCCTGTAACTGTACGACTTATCGAGCACGACTTATCTATAAATCGTACTCAGGTATGAATTGCTGTAAGTCGTGGATGGTTAATCAGCACTAAGTAGTGCGGAAACACCATCTCCTGTATGATCTAGCACATCCAGTACGGATTAGCATCCTTTTGGCACTCCTAGAAAGTGTCATTTCGGAGCTAAACCGGCTTGAAACACGACTTGAGCAACTTGCATTCAAAGCCTCTATGATTTACCACTAAATACGAACACTAAATACTGGATGCAAAGCACGATAATACAAGGTGATTCATTATTACTCCGGATTTGTTACCGTAGCATCACTATTTCAATTGCTGTTGCTGAATGGTAGGCAGGGAGAAAACAACCTACTGCATGTGGGCGATAACTTTCCGATGCGGACCAACACTAGCTTTACCGATACAACTGCATGTTGCTAGACCTGTCGGCGCTCAAACTGAGCCCGATGCACTGGTACATGAGCGATGAGAGTCGGTAACTTTCTCCAGCTTGCTCAGGAGTCATCGTGGTTTCGGTCGGAAAGCTGACAGCATGCATGAGGCCGTGCCTTATGAGCTGGCAATTAGGGCAGAATAACCCCAACATGAAATGCGCCACGCCAGCGAACATCAGCGGACCACCGGGTCTCCATCGCGTCCATGATAAACGTGGACATCTCGACTCGCCACGTTCTGCTCGCACTGAAGCTACCCGTCCGCTGGTTGCTTGGCAGGTTGTGGACGTCGTCCCCGAACGTGCTGGCGGCTAAAATGACCCCGTGACTGACCCCGAAGGCCTCTTGGATGTCTTTTGGGACTCGGAGGCTTGGTGGGTATGTTCCGAAGCTTGGGGGCAGGTGGTGATCATTATGGCAAATCTTGGGGCCTGCGCGCGGCAGACATCCATGGCAGATAAGTAGCGGCCCCTCACAACAGCAAAGACGCCGACTTCAACGCTGGTACGCTTTCCAGATCGGGATCGAGTGGGTCCATTTTTTATATTCGGCTATTTTTTCAAGTTGCTGTATGTATGTTGTTTTTCTCCAGCCAGATACTGCATTTTAAGAGCTCTTCAGAAGGAATATATGGTGGCACATCTATGAGAGCTTGGAGTCGTAGCATTTCGGCTACATACGTAGGAGGAGGTTGGAACTGCTGCATGTATTCTGGTGTGATATCTTCGGTAAGTGTTAGATTTTGCAGTGATGTCGTTCGTGATAGTGCAACATAGAGAGTTTGATGTGGCATTCCTGGTCTTTCTAAGGGTGTTACCGTAACGCCATCCTTGCAGGTTTTCCCTTGTAGGTTTTCAGCTGTGCAGGAGAAGGCTGACACTATTGCAAATTGACGAACTGAAATCGATGAACGAGATAGATTCTTGAATTTTGACAGCTTAATCTGTGCGTTAAGAACTGGTATTCCGATAGTTCCCGGAGGATATCCATCTACCAATGTGCTTTCGCAGTCGTGAACGCGAATGATAATTAGGTCGGGGGGGGTTAAGCACCTCTTTACGATAGTGCCATGAACTAGTTTATTACGGCATGCAGATTCTTGTAGTGGAGGCGCGAAACCTACTATGATTCCGGTTGTTCCATTAGCAATAACGTTTGCATCTTTTAGAGCGGGGTGTTTTCTTGTAATCATTACTGGCATACCAATGAAGCAGATTAATTTCATTGGAATTCGGTCAGTTTCATCGTCGTTTGCGTTAACTATTTTGTTGAAGATTGCCTTTGATCGAGGTGTCGGGTTTGCCGAGATTTCGTATGTCGTACTGTTAGTCTTTGTACATGCTTGGATTGTCATTGTGTCATTTATTGCACATCGTAGTGCATTAGTGGCGACAAGAACAGGATTGTAATAGGAATCCGGAGAACGACCAGCTTTACTCACTGAACGTCGCGCGTCTGTAAATACTCTGGAGTTTAATAATTTTCGGTGAGCGTCTGATAGTCTACCCCATCGAAGTTCACTCAAAATTTCTGCGTAGATTGGGTCGATTTTGGCACGCATATTTTCGGTGAGAAAGATGACAAAGTTGATGGAGTTGTGGACTTTAAACCCAACATTCCTAGCGGTGCTTGCTGCTAGAGGTGGAGGTTTAAAGCCTGCGACCATGGGAATGATATGAATTGCCAATTAGCAAACGAAGATACTAATAAGAAACTGGTTAGAACTTACATGGTGTTCCACGTACAGGTGGTAACTGTAACCAGTCACCAAAGTACATGGCATGCTTTCCGCCCATTATTTTGTGGGGTTGATCGGACATTGCTCGTGATGTCATGCCAGCGGAACCTAGTAACCCTTGATCTGTCATAGATATTTCGTCCATTATAACTAATACCACCTTTTGAAAAACATTTTTCATTTACAAACTGGGAGGAGAGTTGGATTGTGTACCGTTTAGCTGAAGGTTGCGTGCGGAGTGTATTGTTCTGCCTTTTATATTCATTGCCGCCACTCCTGTAAAGGCAAGGGTTTCAACGCTTCCTTCTCGACCCCACTTCTCGGCAAATAGTAGTAGTGTGAGAATTACTCGTGATTTACCAGTACCAGCTTCTCCTCCGACGTACGCTATAAGCTGTTCTTGATAGCATAGGGCTGCAAGACAAAATCTTCTGGAAATAATGGTTCTTGTAAAGCATCTTCGATATCTGACAAGTATGCAAATAGGAGATGCCTCGCTGCAATTTCAAATATCGCGTGCTGCCAAAAGTTGAAGCTAAAGGCCTTTGAGACCGTTTCAATGCTAAGAAAGGCAGGTATAGAACTTATCGAAGTGGCTGTGGCTTGATCAGGCCTCCAGGGAACTGCTTCGAAGCAGTCCTGGAGTCTTTCTAATCTTGTCTTGGCCTCAGGAAAAGCTGCAATGAAATCGCTAGTTCCTGTTGATGTGTAATTGTCACTGTTGTATGAAGTGACGTGTTCGGTGTAGTCTTCGAATGATGTGTAAGCGGGTACAAAAGCCTCGGCTGGTTGTGAGTAATTATCGCATGTGTTGTTGATTGTGGAGCGCAAATTCTGAACTGCATCAATAGAACACGTGTACAATGTTTCGCTGATTATTTGATCCATGTATGTTTCTAACTCGTTGTCGCTATTATCGCCGTCGCCACTTGCCGCATCGGAAAAGTTGTCATTGTCTATTTCTGTTTCTCGATCGTAGGGCTGCCATGGAGCTCTCGAAGGAGATTTTGTGCGAAGCAGAATGTCTTCTTGTGATTCTTGCTCTTCTTTTTCAGACCTGTAATAATCTATCCACTTCTCTTCGAATTCCCTCATTTGAGTTTGTTCAAGAGCTGAGCACGTGGATTTAAACCCAATGTAAGCGCGTTCAGCGTTTGGATACCCTTCAACAATTCTACCTTCTCGATGTGGTTTAAAAAGTGTCAAAAGCACCAAATAGTAAAACTTTCTGTCAGTATCAGATGTGTTAGCGCTAAGATCTGGCAATTGCTTTCCTGACATGATGAAAAGTTGCCGATGTGCATTTTTTTTCAAAGTGTAGCGCCCCATCGGCGTCTTGTTTCTTTCCGCTGTGGTACCATTCACAAATAGTGATAAAATTGACGTTATCTAACTCTTT